GTCAAAGTCTTCACGAGATGAACGAGAGTCACAGACTTAACGAGATGGAGTAGAGTCACAGACTTAACGAGATGGAGTAGAGTCACAACCTTAATGAGATGAGGGAGAGTCACAGACTTAACGAGATGAACGAGAGTCACAGCCTTAACGAGATGAACGAGAGTCAAAGTCTTAACGAGATGAACGAGAGTCAAAGTCTTAACGAGATGAGGGAGAGTCACAGCCTTAACGAGATGAACGGGAGTCACAGACTTAACGAGATGAAGGAGAGTCACAGACTTAACGAGATGAAGGAGAGTCAAAGTCTTAACGAGATGAACGAGAGTCAAAGTCTTAACGAGATGAGGGAGAGTCACAGCCTTAACGAGATGAAGTAGAGTCACAAACTTAACGAGATGAAGTAGAGTCACGGACTTAACGAGATGAAGTAGAGTCACAGACTTAACGAGATCAACGAGAGTCACAACCTTAATGAGATAAGGGAGGGTCACAGACTTAACGAGATGAACGAGAGTCACAGCCTAAACGAAATGAACGAGAGTCACAGCCTTAACGAGATGAACGAGAGTCAAAGTCTTCACGAGATGAACGAGAGTCACAGACTTAACGAGATGAAGTAGAGTCACAGCCTTAACGAGATGAACGGGAGTCACAGACTGAACGAGATGAAGTAGAGTCACGGACTTAACGAGATGAAGTAGAGTCACAGACTTAACGAGATCAACGAGAGTCACAACCTTAATGAGATAAGGGAGAGTCACAGACTTAACGAGATGAACGAGAGTCAAAGTCTTCACGAGATGAACGAGAGTCACAGACTTAACGAGATGGAGTAGAGTCACAGACTTAACGAGATGAAGTAGAGTCACAACCTTAATGAGATGAGGGAGAGTCACAGACTTAACGAGATGAACGAGAGTCACAGTCTTAACGAGATGAACGAGAGTCACAACCTTAATGAGATGAGGGAGAGTCACAGACTTAACGAGATGAAGTAGAGTCACAGCCTTAACGAGATGAACGGGAGTCACAGACTTAACGATATGAACGAGAGTCAAAGTCTTGACGAGATGAACGAGAGTCAAAGTCTTAACGAGATGAGGGAGAGTCACAGCCTTAACGAGATGAACGAGAGTCACAGCCTTAACGAGATGGAGTAGAGTCACAGACTTAACGAGATGAAGTAGAGTCACAGACTTAACGAGATCAACGAGAGTCACAACCTTAACGAGTTGAACGAGAGTCAAAGTCTTAACGAGATGAACGAGAGTCACAACCTTAATGAGATGAACGAGAGTCACAGACTTAACGAGATGGAGTAGAGTCACAACCTTAACGAGATGAGGGAGAGTCACAGACTTAACGAGATGAACGAGAGTCACAGCCTTAACGAGATGAACGAGAGTCACAACCTTAATGAGATGAGGGAGAGTCACAGACTTAATGAGATGAACGAGAGTCACAGCCTTAACGAGATGAACGAGAGTCACAGCCTTAACGAGATGAACGAGAGTCACAACCTTAATGAGATGAGGGAGAGTCACAGACTTAACGAGATGAACGAGAGTCACAGCCTTAACGAGATGAACGAGAGTCACAGCCTTAACGAGATGAACGAGAGTTACAACCTTAAGGAGATGAGGGAGAGTCAAAGTCTTAACGAGATGAAGAAGAGTCACAACCTTAGCGAGATGAAGTAGAGTCAAAGTCTTAACGAGATGAAGAAGAGTCACAGCCTTAACGAGATGAACGAGAGTCACAGACTTAACGAGATAGAGTAGAGTCACAGACTTAACGAGATGAACGAGAGTCACAACCTTAACGAGATGAACGAGAGTCACAACCTTAACGAGATGAAGAAGAGTCACAGACTTAACGAGATGAAGAAGAGTCACAGCCTTAACGAGATGGAGTAGAGTCACAGACTTAACGAGATGGAGTAGAGTCACAACCTTAATGAGATGAACGAGAGTTACAACCTCGATATACAAGAGTATTGTTTTCTTTATATTACACTGTATGCTAATAACATTGCTTCCGTTTACTTCATTCCGTTTTCGTCCAAAGCTATGACAATCTAAAGGATAGAAATAATGTTAAAATAAAATGGGCAAAAAAACAGAGCAGAATATGCATAAACTACTGAGGGGAATATATTACACACCCATCAGTCATTAAATATGAATAATGCTGAGTAATAATACTGGGATCAGAAGAGTTATAAATAACACTTATCTTATTATAAATACGATATCCAAGATAAAACATCCACGTGATAGATATGATAACATCCCCATACTGTCATATTGTATGTGGGTGCTGAAGTAATGGCTGAAAAGATTACCTAGGAGGAGGAAGGGTCGGAGAGGGGACAAGTGACTGCATTGGTGGTGGGGGTGGGGGGGGGGGGTGGGAGGGAGGGGCGGGAGTCAATGATATAGGGATGACTAGAGGGGAAGGTATCGCTGATGTAGAGATGACTAGAGTGTCAATGATGTAGTGGTGACTAGAGAGGAAGGTATCACTGATGTAGAGATGACTAGAGAGGAAGGTATCACTGATGTAGAGATGACTAGAGAGGAAGGTATCACTGATGTAGAGATGACTAGAGAGGAAGATATCACTGATGTAGTGATGACTAGAGAGGAAGATATCACTGATGTAGAGATGACTAGAGTGTCAATGATGTAGTGATGACTAGAGAGGAAGGCATCACTGATGTAGTGGTGACTAGAGAGGAAGGTATCACTGATGTAGTGATGACTAGAGAGGAAGGTATCACTGATGTCGTGATGAATAGAGAGCAAGGTATCACTGATGTAGAGATGACTAGAGAGGAAGGTATCACTGATGTAGAGATGACTAGAGAGGAAGGTATCACTGATGTAGAGATGACTAGAGAGGAAGGTATCACTGATGTAGAGATGACTAGAGAGGAAGATATCACTGATGTAGTGATGACTAGAGAGGAAGGCATCACTGATGTAGTGATGACTAGAGAGGAAGGCATCACTGATGTAGTGATGACTAGAGAGGAAGGTATCACTGATGTAGAGATGACTAGAGAGGAAGATATCACTGATGTAGTGATGACTAGAGAGGAAGATATCACTGATGTAGTGATGACTAGAGAGGAAGGTATCACTGATGTAGTGATGACTAGAGAGGAAGGTATCACTGATGTAGAGATGACTAGAGAGGAAGGTATCACTGATGTAGAGATGACTAGAGAGGAAGGTATCACTGATGTAGAGATGACTAGAGAGGAAGGTATCACTGATGTAGTGATGACTAGAGAGGAAGGTATCACTGATGTAGAGATGACTAGAGAGGAAGGTATCACTGATGTAGTGATGAATAGAGAGGAAGGTATCACTGATGTAGTGATGACTAGAGAGGAAGGTATCACTGATGTAGAGATGACTAGAGAGGAAGGTATCACTGATGTAGAGAGCGGAGTGATGACTAGAGAGGATCACTGATGTAGAGATGAGAGAGGAAGATATCACTGATGTAGTGATGACTAGAGAGGAAGATATCACTGATGTAGAGATGACTAGAGAGGAAGGTATCACTGATGTAGTGATGACTAGAGAGGAAGGTATCACTGATGTAGTGATGACTAGAGAGGAAGGTATCACTGATGTAGTGATGACTAGAGAGGAAGGTATCACTGATGTAGAGATGACTAGAGAGGAAGGTATCACTGATGTAGAGATGACTAGAGAGGAAGGTATCACTGATGTAGCGGTGACTAGAGAGGAAGGTATCACTGATGAAAAGGTGACTGAAGGAGAAATATTGCACTACTTTACGAAGGAGTGATTTTAACAAAACTATGGATTTTCGAAATTGAGTTTTGAAAAGTTTGATTGATCTTATCCTCCTGACAATGTCACTTTATGATGCATTTCATCACACACACACACATATATATATATACATTTTATATGTGTTAATTCAATTGAACATTGTTTATGTAAACTCGATATTTTCTCTTTGAGCATTTAAACTCCATATAACTAAGTTATACGTAAACTTCATAACATCCCTGAATTAATATAAAGCAGGGACTTAAATATAAAAGTCATTTTGTAAAGAAAGCATTACTCATATTGAGATAAGCATCCGTAAGTATGAATATTTTCAGCGTATAACAATATGTTTAGATAGTATACAGATATTACAGCTTAATTTCCAAGCTGAGGAAAGTCAGCAAAAAAATACTGATATCTATTTGATATCAATCTAAAAGTAATTTACGTGTACAGTTAAATCTAAATATCCCCTGCAATGTATTCCAGTTTGAACTTTTACATTACCTCCCAGACTTTTTGTAAGGTTCTGGGTTTATATTGCGTCTAAATTGTGGTATGACGTTGCCTAATTAACAAAGTAGGGAGGTCTGTTCTATCAAGTGGAAAGGTTATTTGATAGTTTAGGTATGAGAGAATCTTACAATCATTCGTCTCCGAATGGTACACTTTGTTGATATTATTCATTGTGTAAAGATCAAATATTAAGATAAATTATAAATGACCTGTTTCCACGCTTTTTTCATTTCCCCTATATGTTTTAAACATGGAAATGAACACGTTACATGAATTCCGAAGCCTGCATTGTTGTATATCTGTTCTGATTTAATCTCTCTAACTAGTCAATAAAATAAACGTCCGGTGCTCAGTGAGTTTCTCAAATTACATAATGATATCAATGTGCTTGTTTTCATAATACAATCGGGTTGAATAGTATCATATATAATGAAACGTCTTTAAAAGTCGGCTGCAGGATTTCATGAATTTTAAAGAACAAAAATGCGTGAAGTTAAAAAGCAATGGAGACATGCGATAAGATCTTATCTTGTGTATAAAAATTCAAACTATAAAATCCAACTTTCTACTTACGTTGATTTTTTTATATGATGTTAAATTATCTAAATGCAATAGTGATGGTCATTTTTTTCACACCATAGAAAATACTGGGTTGGAAAGAATACTAACCAGAACATCGAGTTGCTGACCATGGTCATTTGTGGTCAGTTTGGCATCTTGTATTCTCTGAAGCTGTTTCTCTCTCAACATTTTAAGTTCGGCTAGACCAGCCAGCGACTCCTCAATTCGTGGACGTAACCTTGGAGTAGGCTTCTGTAAAACTGATACCCTAAGACCCCCGGGAAGGCGGGTAGGTGAGTGACTCCGGGGTTTGAATTCAGGAGGTCTCCTCGGGCTCCTAGTAAAAGCAATGATTTTGTCCGGAGACAAACTTGACTGGTCACAGTCTCCAAATGAGCTATGGGTAGTGGACCCCATTCCCGTATCCGGACTATCCCGACGGAGTATCATTTGACAGGTTTTTCCACATCAGTGACGAAGGACACAGATCAAGGAGTACATCGCCAATTGTAGTTTTATGAATCATAATTATTATCACATAAATATCCACTTTTTCTGTTCAAAATTCCATAGCTAGAGGCAACATGTCTCAAAACGTTCACCAACGAACTAGTTATAGATACATAAATACGTCTGTCCCCCCGGTCGTCACATCACTCAGTGATTACGTTAGCTGCAACATTAAACTACCTAGATATATACACACACAGGTAAAGTACAGATAATATCCGCAGCCGGTAGGACGATTTAGCCACTATGGCACAGGTAGATTGGAACATACAAAAGCATAAATATAAAAGTAAAGAATGCTGGTATACTTGTCAATCGGCCGGGTTTCATAGGGTACGTATTCGATAGTCCCGCCCCACCAGGCGGTGACCAGGTGTCGCTACCGAGATTGGTTAGGTTCAATCCAGGCGCTTCGCACTGGAAACAAATATAAGAAAATATATTGACAAGCAAAATTACCAAAGAAAGCTTAATATTTACACAGGGAGATGTGATTTTCAAGAAACATATGACAAATCGTTTAATAAATACCCCGAAACACACATTACACCCATTTTCTTACTGGTATCATAAAAGCGTATATTTTAATCCGCAATGAAAGACATGAATTACACAAAAACGTGCACGGTGATTCGGATCTAGGAATAACTCCATAGGCATGAACAGGAACATATCTGTCAATCATGTTTCGATACTAAGAGTGTATGCTGACTAGGCTTTTAAAAGAACATGTCCATTTCCAGTTGACATTTCACGTGTGGTAGCGACTTCACGGTAGAATATGATCGAAAGAGTTTCACACACGAAACCCAAAACACTACAAAAAATATTTAATAGATACTTACGTGAGTTTACTAAGTTTATTTAGTCTCCATTGTCCAAGCTGACCAAATCCATTCTTGACCAACACCTGGTTTTCTTAAGCCTTCAGTGTTGGTATAGGATATTACGCAAAATGGTGTGTAAGATCGGAGGACTTACAGATTCAACAAAAGCGAGAAGAAAACAAAGTGATATTGCCATGGCCCCGGGGCGGAGTCATTGTCATACATAGGTATAGATAAGTACACATATTAGCCTCTGGTCACAACACAACCATGCAATAGTAATCAGTGTATGTTTATTTTCAAAACGTAACAATCATTCTATCAGCGTCATTAGTATACAAATGTCACGACAATGATTTCACTGATGAAGAACGAGGTTTCACACAATCGAGCTTTGTCAATCGGGTAAGCGTAGACGTTATGTCAAAAGGTCGATTTTGGACGATATGAGCAAAGCAATTACTCCAAGGGGCAGAAATCCAGGATACTGTTCCTTGTCCGGTGGTAGGCTTACTAAATACTGGAACTTGTTCATTGGAAGGGCTACAGGATTCGATGACTAGTCCGATGGAAGAGCTACTGGTTACCGTGCGGTAGAAGGTTGACATTCAAATGCGAATAATCCGGGGGTAGATCTACAAGATACTGGGACAAGTGAATGGTAGGTTTACAAGATACTGGGACTAATGAATGGTAGGGTTACATGATACTTGGACTTGTCAATGGTAGGTCTACAAGATACTGGGACTTATCAATGGTAGGTTTACAAGATACTGGGACTAGTCAATGGTAGATCTACAAGATACTGGGACAAGTGAATGGTAGGTTTACAAGATACTGGGACTAATGAATGGTAAAAAGGGTTACATGATACTTGGACTTGTCAATGGTAGGTCTACAAGATACTGGGACTTATCAATGGTAGGTTTACAAGATACTGGGACTAGTCAATGGTAGGTCTACAAGATACTGGGACTTGTCAATGGTAGGGTTACAAGATACTGGGACTTGTGAATGGTAGGGTTACATGATACTTGGACTTGTCAATGGTAGGTCTACAAGATACTGGGACTTATCAATGGTAGGTTTACAAGATACTGGGACTAGTCAATGGTAGGGTTACAAGATACTGGGACTTGTCAATGGTAGGTTTACATGATACTGGGACTAGCCGATAGTAGGAGGACTAGCTGATAGTAGGGTTACATGATACTGGGACTAGCTGATGGTAGAATTACATGATACTGGGACCAGCCGATAGTAGGGTTACAAAATACTGGGACCAGCCGATGGTAGGTCTACAAGATAATGGGAATAGCCGATGGTAGGTCCACAAGACAATGGGACTAGCCGATGGTAGGGTTACATGATACTGGGACCAGCCGATGGTAGGTCTACAAGATAATGGGACTAGCCGATGGTAGGTCCACAAGACAATGGGACTAGCCGATGGTAGGGTTACACGATGGGACTAGTTCAGTGGAAAGGTCGCTAAATCCTGGGAAAAAGTCGGAGAATAGTTACAGGATATCTAGAACAGTCGATAGTAGTCGGAGATTTTAGAGGACATAGGGACTTATGATACGAATATCTACATATAAATAATTACGAAGGTATCATTCAAATAGCATGTGACCTTTGAACTCGACAATATATAAACAGCATGTTTGACACGATGAAAGAAGGCTTCGTTAAAGCATTATCCGTATATTTCTGTCCAACTGAAACGCGTGGTTGGGTCTTGTCATTGATCAAGTAATCCCCATTCAGTCCGTGCCACTGATATAAACAGGAATCTTTAAATGATGTATCAGTAATTAGTATCACCATTATCCAAAATGTCAATGAGACATCCCTTACCTATCCAAATCCGCAAATATATATAACTTAGATATGTAGACGGGAAACTATCGACTAGTCCGTCTGTGTCAGAAATTACCGTCAATTTGAAGGAACATGCAGTCAGATATTCTCAAGAATATAATTAATCAATTAAGAGTAACATTCCACCATGTATTTCTATAGAACATTATAAATGTTGAGCAATTTTTGACGTGTTTCCCCAAAATATCGCTAATCTAGAACAACATTGGACTATTTCAGAACATTTTCTTCGGACTGTAATGTCCTAGCCAAGTTTCTATAACACAACCAGAAGAAGATTTAAATGTAACATTTCAATGGCTACACTGCCACCTTCGTCCAACAAATGACCAGTGCGAAATGAGATAACACTGATGTACGTAATGTACGAGATGGAAAAAATAGGTACATAACATGGGTAACAATATATCATCGATTCGGCCACGCTTTGTTTAAACAAGTGTTGGTTTGCGAGATTCACGATAACAGGTGAGAGTTTAAATGAAACCACACTAAACACCTGGGTAATTAGCATTTTTAACACACAGTGTTTAAACAAGTGTTGGTTTGCGAGATTCACAATAACAGGTGAGAGTTTAAATGAAACCACACTAAACACCTGGGTAATTAGCATTTTTAACACACAGCTTAAAGACAGGGACAGAACAAGAATAAGAAAATAAGGTTACTGAAATACAATATAGACAGCCGTTTTATGTATCGTGGCCCTCTACACATGGCGCTCATAGAATGTACTGCACACCCAAGATCTACAAAGAATGGAACCTATTACGGCCAATAGTCGACTATACTGGCACACTCACTGGCAAAGCGCTTGTCATAATTCGTAGCCACCTAGACCGGCAATGAATATCCAACGCACCATGGATTTACTAGAGTTTGTACTTGCAACATATTTTGCGTTTCGAAATGCCATCCATCAGCGTCGGTTTGGCACTGTCAGGTGTAGCCGGTTGTTGACAACATATTCACGGAGCACGTGGAGAAAGGAGCTAAAGCCATGGTCCTGTAGAATGAAGCCTAGTCTTTGGAAACGATGACGTATTGGAAATAGTCAAGGAATGGTCAAGGAAGGGTCACAGACTGAGCGTTGTACGAACTTTGATGTGAGATTCCTGTTACATCGGAGCAAGACAAGAAGCAAGAACAAAATCACATCCATTGCGCTATGAAAACATCGATACTCTGACTGGACAATCAAGAGAGTTCAGAACAAATTTTAGGAAAGCAAAAAGCAAAGAAAAGGCCGAGAGACGAAACACTAAGGAAAAGAACAAAATGAAAGGGCAGGTTTTCACCCCGTACATCAAAGGCCTGTCAGAAACCATTCAGAGGATTTACCATAGTCATGGTATTGCAGCGGCCATGAAACCTAAAAAGTATCCTAGTCCATCTCAAAACTTCCAAAGAGAATGTCGTATATGCGTATACAAGATCGGATCTTAGAACTGTGACGTATAGTAAGTATACCGGAAAACGGATAGGTAGTCAGGAAGATGCGGAATCCCAAGAAGGCAGAAAATTCACCAGATCAGAAAGAGGGACGAGACCACCGTATATCTACGATCAAGTGTTAAACAAAGCGTAGACGAATCTTCTATAGTACACTGTTAAAATCGTATGTACTTTTTTCTATAATCTCTTTGTCATCTCGTCAAATTATTGTCTACCTTAGTGTACATAGGATCAGCCGAAAAAGTTGATCGATTCCTTACTGTCTCGTACACACCATACTTCAGTGCTTTACGCTGGTCATTTGTCTGAGGAGTCATCGAAACGTCACTTTTTAGTAGTCTTCCTTTTGAGTTATAAGATCTATTATATTAATATTCGATCACATTTACCAGAATATTTTCAGACTATAACAAGTTTCGACCATGTATTTCCCCAGAATATCGCCAATTATAATCAAAAGCAACATTCGACAAGTCATAATTCCCTCGAGTATCGGTAATCTAGAGCGACATTCGACAAATTATAATTCCCTCGAGTATCGGTAATCTAGAGCAACATTCGACAAATTATAATTCCCTCGAGTATCGGTAATCTAGAGCAACATTCGACAAATTATAATTCCTTCGAGTATCGGTAATCTAGAGCAACATTCGACAAATTATAATTCCCTCGAGTATCGGTAATCTAGAGCAACATTCGACAAATTATAATTCCCTCGAGTATCGGTAATCTAGAGCAACATTCGACAAATTATAATTCCCTCGAGTATCGGTAATCTAGAGCAACATTCGACAAATTATAATTCCCTCGAGTATCGGTAATCTAGAGCAACATTCGACAAATTATAATTCCTTCGAGTATCGGTAATCTAGAGCAACATTCGACAAATTATAATTCCCTCGAGTATCGGTAAGCTAGAGCAACATTCGACAAATTATAATTCCCTCGAGTATCGGTAAGCTAGAGCAACATTCGACAAATTATAATTCCTTCGAGTATCGGTAATCTAGAGCGACATTCGACAAATTATAATTCCTTCGAGTATCGGTAATCTAGAGCAACATTCGACAAATTATAATTCCTTCGAGTATCGGTAATCTAGAGCAACATTCGACAAATTATAATTCCCTCGAGTATCGGTAATCTAGAGCGACATTCGACAAGTTATAATTCCCTCGAGTATCGGTAAGCTAGAGCGACATTCGACGAGTTATTTCACAGAGTATTGTAAAACTAGCAAACATTGACCAGTTACCGTCAAACTAGACGACTTTTTGGAGTACAATGATAAGTCGGATATGGTAAACTTTTCCAGCAAAAATTCATAGCCAAGTCAACTGTAAGCAATCAGACGAAAGAAACTTCCGACTAATAATTGGATTGTCAGGTTACATAACATAGTCAACATAAATCATTCAACTTTTATCTTATTTCATCAATATAATAATAATCAGCATAATATGTAATATATTAGAGGTACGTTTTGTGATTTCTAAAATAAGTCAGTATTTCATAGCAAGTCGAAAGTTGGCCTTCTTTCAACCACACATACTAAAAATTATGATTAGCGTAATAATAGGCATCGAATGTTGTTTCTTTCAACAAGGGCTTTGTACTTCAAAAGGTGAAGCTCGTTAAAATATTATTAACTTCGAGTTAAAACGAACCCCACGGGACCATGGGTATACACCCGTTATTAATGTTATTCGCGAATTATTGATCAAACTGATAAATTTCAATACTAACAATATAGATTTTTTAAAAATCCACATATATCATTACACACACGCAAAAGTATTGAGGTCACTCCTGTATCAGTAAATCATAAGTTATAACGAATTAACATTCATCTAAAACGCTTAAATCTGATGAACAGTGACTCATTCATTTCTGTGGAAGACGATAAGAGTTCCGCCCCTTTACTAATTATTCTGCGCGTTTGACGCCACGTATCCCGGTTCGTTCACTGCAATCTTTTAAATTTGTGAAACAGACGCATTTTATCAAATCGAATATTTTGTTTTTAAAATTTCATCATTTAAGAGCTGATTTGAGTTTTTTTTCCACATTTTTAATATCCTATACGAGAACAAGAGGCCCACGGGCCTTAAGGTCATCGGACTGTAAAGACCTTTAATTATATGAAAGAGGCCAAATAACCATAAAGCAAATTGCATAAATACACTACAGCTTATAAAGTAAAAATTGGTTGGTTCAAAAAGACATTTTCTGCAAACTTGAAATAATATTCTTTATATGTGCACTATACAAATGCCATTACTCCAAACATATTTCTTGGTGAAAAAACATGCTACATGCCCAATATTAAGACCCTTGGCCTTTTGGTTATTGAGAAGTTGCTTACACATTTCAACACATTTGAGCATGCTCCAGACCTTATATCAGCACCCTGCGTCCTATTGAGAAGTCATTTAAACATATCAGACCACTGTGACCTTGAAAAATATAAAGGTCATTCATATTTACAAACTTGGTAGTCCTTCATCCCATCATGCCACTGGCTCAATAACAGCACCCTGGTCCATTTGGGTATTGAGAAGAAGTTTTTTTTTTTTTTTTAAAGTTTTGAACATATTTGACCCTTGTGATCTTGAAAGGTCATTTATATGAACACATTTGGTAGTCCTTCATTCCAGCATTTGCTGACATGTAGCATTAAAATCATATTTAGAATTGATATTGTGAATTTTCTGATTCTAGATAGTGATTCCTCGATCCCTAACCTATGGTGTTTAAATGTTGCTGTGGATTCGATACTCAAGGCCTGTTCTCATTATCACGATTTACATGCCAGAAGTCATCAACTGATTGACAAACTTGTAACACAAGTTATCCAGAGAAAAGTCGATATCATAGAGATGTAACAGCAGGAGGTTGAACCAAGTCAGGAGAATATTGATCTCCTGAACAGTGAGCTTGCCAAAGTATGAGGCCTGCAGGATGATCCTACCTTCACTACATAATGACATCTACAAGACAGATTTGAAGTTGTCTGGTATTGACATAAAAAAAATGGAATCATTTTCTGAACAATTTCCACAACTAAAAAGTAAGTGAGGCAAAAACACTTTTAAGCAAATTTCCTCTACAAACAGAGCCACATTAATGATAAGTCAAACAACATCAGAGAACATCCAATACAAATTTATTAACCTGTCACATAACGCATCTTCTTACTATTTGCACACAATATGGAATTTTGTAAATATCTGTCAGTTTTTTTCTTTCTAAAATTGTTTATCCAATGCAAATGGAGAAAACTGTTGGATTTCTGTAACACACTCATCCTTTTACAGTGATAATTCCATGTTGTTTAAGACTCCGCAGATTTTCCTGTTGATGTTTCTGTTATAGTTGTCCAATACAAAGTTCACAGGTACATCGTCTATAAAACAATGCCAACTACTTCAACTTACTAAACAACTTTGGTGCGACCTGAAAAATAAAACCCCAACAATCAAAATTTGTTTTAGGAAAGACATGAAGATAAATTTCAGTGATATCACCTTATATGACATGGATATGGTAAATATATACATCACAATATGTAAAACTTGGGAAAATCAATGGTGTATATACAACACTTATAGTCCGAGATGAATTGTGATGGTAAATATGCCATAATTTATGGTCTGTGGGGAATTGATTAAAAAACAAATCATAAAACCTGTTACAGATATCATTTGTGGAGGATTATTGAAAAAAATTCTGGTCAATTTGAATATTTTTGAATGAGTTCTTGCTTATTCTAAAAAAAAAAATCATGCTTTTTTCCCCCATGAATGAATTGAAGTAATCCAAATCTCTTCATTTGTACTGATCTAGCTAGTACACACTTATCATCTAAGTGATGTGTACAGTGTTCTCAATTTGGTTCTGGTATTTTTAATTTCTTATTGACTTCATAATAAGGAGAGTGGATGTCAACGGAAAAGTAACACCCTTCTGCTCCCTCATCAAGGTGAGACAATATGGTGTTATGGTGATATTCTGATCTAACACTAAATCAATTTTATCTTTTGGAACTCTTTTATTGACTTTTGACAACTGAATTTGTGGAAATTTGTGAAATCATTTTGAAAATATAAATTGAATGAAAATTCCTTCCTTAGCGATCATCTCAAAGGTGAAGTCCAGTATGATACCGATATTGATTTCAAGGTGATCACTTCCATTCTATATATCACAACGAACTTTATTCCACGCTTCAATTCTTAAATAAATTAATTACCTTCATAAATATTACATGTCTCACATCGTTCAAACTGAAATTGAAAATCTACATCTTTTTTCCTCTTAACTAAATACCAAGTATATCAACGAGTATTTCAATTTTTGTTCAGTAAGACAGTATGAAAATTCAAAAATTGATATTCGAATGTTTGTTTTTGCAATTTTTGAATATCATCATTTGGAAAAGTCATTAAAATTATTTCTTTCTCTGCCAACTGATTGTCCAATTTTCATTCTGATTAGTGTTTTGTTGGCTAAACTATCAAGGTATAATTAGTGTTCAAAGTTCTACTCCTGTAGAACTCATCATGACACTGATTAACCTATCGCCGGAGGGTTTGAGATCACCTATATTCAGGTAAACTTTCCATCTCATGTGCGTGAAACAACATGGATCAAATCTGTACCTGTGATATTGTCGCAAACTTTGGATTTACACCATTGTCAGCCACTTTAATCAGCATTTAATTGGGGCCTATCTGTGGGACGTTTCAGGGCAGTATTTATAAAATACAGGTGGTATTCCACTATACATCTGATGGTTTCTTTGATTAATTCCAGCAGACATTTTAATTGCTACTTTGATAACGAGTACTTATGAACAGTGAAAACCACTTAAATCATTTAAAGCACTGTTGAATGATCTTATGGATAGAAGTGTTTATTAACATTCAGTTCAATTGTATTAAGTACAGGCCATCATTGTACCAGATGTGGATTAAACGTTGTTTATATATATATGTGATTAGCAAAATAATTGATGTTATGAAATATTATGACAATTATTCTATAGAAAAAAACAAAAAAAAAAAAACATTCCTACGTTATGATACCAATTCTATTGTCCAACTTTTGAAATATGAGAGAATACGTTTATGTCCTCAATCATTTCCTATGACATATTTTCGTATTATTTCGCATTTTTAAAAGCAATCTCTTAAGTTAGAAAAACTTTTGCAGTCAAACTAGTTATGTGCTAAGTTTTTAAAACTAAAAAAAGAAAAAAGTCTTTTTAGGTACCATTATGTTTTGCATGGGTAAAACATTACCGGTACATGACAGAACTGAAAGTTCAAATACTGAACTAAATATTCGAATAGCAATTTCTTATCAAATTGACATTCCTACTAAATACAAATATTTTCAGAAAATTCCATCTGTATAAAAAGTATACTTAAAGTGTTTTTGTATGTGCTTTTCCTGATAAAATTTGTTCATTCGCCTAAAATACAAAGAAAACATTATACTAAAGACCAAACACTTAGAAGTTAACTACAAACTTACACAATGATCTATGCAGTGAACCAAATTACTAAATTCTTCATGGCAGGTTTCTTCTGTCTCTGATGCACTTTGTACCCTTTTAGTGCATTCAACAAGTTTTAAATCAAATTTCTGACAAGCTGGAGACTGTTTACACTCTTCTTTGATGACATCATGTGGGTCCTGGAAATAAACAAAAATCAATTTTCTAATCATAACCGTTAAAGAAGTTGATAGATGGTTTTATTATCCCAGGAAAAAATGTTGACTGAAGACTGTCCAAGATTGACATTTTTTCCTTTATCAATCAAATAAGATTATAGTCGTTGGTTTTGCTCAAAGTCTGGAGTAAAAGACCAATGAAATTATATATTTTTTAGGTTTCTATACAGTGTCAACAGTCTTAAAGACCAAAACACAAATAAACAACTACAACAATTACTTCAAAATGAATTAGAAAGACAATTTGACAAATGACAGTCGTCCAAGAGTATGAAATTGTGTACCAAGAATGCATTGCAAATGAACCCATGCCTGAAGTAAGAAGTTCCAGTGACTAGTAATGTAGAAGATAGATACCACACAAATTTTCCTTTGGTGTGGGTCAAAGGTAAGAGTGACCTACTTTTGTTACATTTACAAATCAACATATCTATTCTTCGAAATGCCAAGTCAATCATTAATTTTACCAACTTTTTACGCACAGCTATCACCTTCTGAATAAGAATCATATGCTTCTATTTCTGCCAATCAGAATGTGTGAAAAGTTTTATTACACAATAAATTAAATTTATATTCTACACTTTCTGAGATTTTTTTGCATGAATTTGTGACAAAATTCAGATAATTTAACATTTGCCATTGTCTTCATATACATGGATATCCTCTTAACCAACAGCTTATGGGAATAGGAGGAAATCTCAAATCCACAAGACAAATATTTGTACGTACGACCGTGTCCTCTTCATCTTCTTCTTCTTCCTCAGCTTCTGGCTACAAAAAAAAAGCATATACATTATGACAATAATCTATCTATAAGGAGTAGAATCTAAAACATGGACTATGATAGCTAAGGCAATAAAAATCCAACTTTGAATTGGAAATAAAGGAACAGGTTCAGAACTTTCAGTGTCTGACCTGTTTTTTGATATTGGACAGTAAAGAGTGATTTTTAGGACTCAGGTATTTGAGTGGCCCCAGTTAGTTAGAGGTTATATTTAGGACTTCCTTGTAGCAGTGACAAATATTAGTAGGCTTCCAGTCAGATGGTACTTCACCTACATGCAGACAGCAGTTGAAAAGATGTGTAGAATGATTGGAAATAAACACCATGAAGACTTTAGTCTTGTTCATGTCAGGTCCCACAGCACACGATGATCAAGTTTAGACAGAAGTTTACTTACACCTTCTCCTGTTATTCATTAAGAATAATTTAGGTATGATAGGTCCTCCTTCGGAGAAGGTTAAGATGCAATTACAATTTTGATAGTGTTAACTTCTGTATAGAGTTAACAATTTTCCTTCAAAATGGTTAAGGATCATGGTGATCACCATCACTTTATGGTACTGTGTGAAAATTTAAAGTGTTTTAAAACAGAACCAAACAAAAATAACTATAGCCTTGAGCCTGTAACTTTGTCATTTTTTGTATGTGATCGAGAAGGTGTTTGTGTGAGTACGTTGGTGTGCATGTGTGTGACTTATATGGCTGGTGGGGCAGTTGGGGAGAGGGGAGGGTGAGCATTCAATCTTTCGGCTCAATTTCTTTTCAAACTACTCATCTCTGGTTTGTTTTACAACGCTAAAAAGATGGAAACTTATGATTTGAAAAAGGATAGAATTTTTGAGTATTTACTGCAAAGAGGAATTTCTTATCCAGGACCGTAGCAGAGTACGCTCAGTACGGAACTAACGTGACTTTGCTGTTGACATTGAGTTTGGCGAAGAAAAAAGCAACATTCGGTTCGAGAAGTCTATACATGTAGACATGAATTATCAATGAATTATCAGTTGTTAATTCAAAATCAGCCTCTTAAGATATGTGCAATTTTAAGGAGATAACACCGCAAGTAGTAAACACACCTCCTCTTCAGGATCACCGGCTAATACAAGTTCGTCACCTAGCGCCATGTTTGATGTTACCCAGAATGCACTTTTCCGGAAATGAAAGAAGACTGCTACTTTGAATATCAAAATGTTATGTGATTCCGGTTGCGGTATTTAATCGCCATTTACAATCATTAGAAAACTATATATGACATGAAGAATTAGTGACAAACTACATCTTCGTAAATTTCAAACAATTTTTTTAATTAAACGATATAATTAACTCGGCATGTTAACTGAAAGAACCAAAAATTCAATGAGCATGTTAACAAAGTTATAGCTGAAACGAACATGAAAGTAGGATCAATATTAAAAATATTCAAATGTATGAAAGAAGACATTTTTTCTCATTAAATTTCTAGTGTGTCTAATCATTGAAAACTACAATGTATGCTCAGAGACTACAACTGTAAGTATCTTCCGGAAAGACTGCATTGTTTTTAAAAAATCCAGAGACTAATTTCAACCAAGTTAATTCAATCAGTACAGATTTTTCGTATCCTGACCAAATAAAAAAAAGAGTCTTCCAACACTAAAATATAGAAGATTATAGGATCAAGTTAAAGAAGTTTAAGATTGATTGTGAACGGCTACTAAAATTAGCCAATCGGTCAGCCTTATTTCCCCCTAGATAATCAAAACACAAGGAGAAATGTTTACAAAAATAAGATGCAGTACAAATATCTGGGGGCAAGTTTAATAGAACCGTAAACACGTAGAACTCTACTATGACCCAGCTGTGCTGTCAAAAACCCTCCCTTTCAATTGTTTTAGATAGAGACACCCTCCCCCCACCCCCGATAAAAACACATACATATAAATCGAGATATATGATTAATCGCACTGCACAACCATGCAGTCGAAACAAAGAAGTATGAGGTGCGTCAATAGAAGCATTTATGTTAACGAAGACGTTCAAACACAACACATTCACGTCTTACGTCAACATCATCATCATTACTCAATACCAAAATTGACATGATACTCAGTATGTTGAGGTAGGTAAATAATTTGGTAGAAGTAAATATTTCGTCACTATCATTATGATACAGTTAAACTAAACCAAACCAAACTCATTATATGAAAATATTAGTTATGCATGTGGAGAAAATTGGAATATAAGGGGTCCAGCCGTACCTGTTCGGAACTAACTTGCTGACCATCATTAGTTTTCAGAGTTTCAACATAAATGGTTGCTTCACTGCACTCACATATTTTGAGGAGCATTATGCTTTAAAGTATAAGGATGATATCTTAATTTCAGATCACTGATTTATGCTTGACATGAAATTCCGAAACTGTGCATTTTAAGTTTTACATATATCAAATATCCGGTACAAGTGCGTTCGTATAATGATATAATGCCAGACATCTGAACCGTTTCAACCGGGTTACGCGAATGCGTCCCATTTTGTCATATCACACACCTAGCAGTCAGGAGCCGGAAGTTTATTTTTCGCGCCTGCTCACGCAAAAATGAAAGTTAACAATACATGTCGGCTATTTGTTCTCTGATAAGTAGACAATTTCAGAAAGTGTCATCGAAATATACATCGTAGGTAATGTAAAGAACGAAATGAAGTTGTTTTATCCACTGCTCCTGGAGTATTGGGCATTTCTAGATTGCTTAAATTGAAGTTTGTTATTGCGTTATATAGCCAGCTATTTTTAACTCACACGGCCCGAAGTCCAAGGGATACCGCGGCGTCCGTCGCCTGTCCGTATTCTGTAGTCTGTCAATTTTTCAACAAAATGCTACTTGTCATGATCGACTGAGGGGATTTTGACCATATTTGGTCAGAAGCATCCTGATGGGAAATGGAGTAAACTCTTTAAAATCCCACTCCTCCTGTAGGAATGATTTGCTTTAGTCCAAATTTGGCCTGAATCATGTTGAGGTGAAGAGCAATTAGTTTTGTATAAACAGTGGATCTCAGCCCCCAAGGGGTATACTCTTTATACTTTTATATAAATGGTGTTTGACAGACGAGACCACTACCTGAGGTCGAAGTTCTAACCATGGCCATCGTGCAACAATGCAATGACATATTTGAATTTTGACACTGGAGGTTTAATCAATGACATACACGTATATTTCTACATTAAGTTATACACAGCATAGATAGAACATATATAAGATTGTACAAAAGACACAAGTGAATAACACTTTTTAATAATTTAGAGTAAGACTCAGTAGAGCAAAACAAATTTAACAGCATCATACACCTATTAAACTTATATAGTCTCCTTTTACAAAGGTACATTTTCACAAATCAAATTGTGTTATTCTCATGAATGTTGTTTACCCCCGTTCTACCCATCAGTGCAAATACCTGTATAGATTTTGATTTCCAATTTGGTACCACATTATCAGAATGTCAAAATGCAACTGGTATACTCAAAAATGATTATTTAATGTTTTCTTCAGTATTGACCATGTTGACCTGGAGGTTTTGTTTGCCCATTTTGGTGGTAATGTTAATACTTGACCCTTTACCAAGCTGTATGTCAGATGATCCATTGGCTAAAGGGGATGAGGAATACATTGATCCATTTGATATGGAAAATTTTCAGCATCCATCTACAAAAAAGTCTCCGCAACAAAAAAAGGTGAGCTTTCAATGGAATCATTTCTAAATAATTTATACTATAACAAAGTCACTTAATGTATTTGGGTTTTGAGTGAATTGGATTTAAAACATTTCTGTATAGAAGTTAACTACAGCTAGTCCATCAAACTATCATGACCTACATTTGAATTTCCCTTGATTGTACGGACTTCAATTTTGTAAATTGCTGTAAGTAGTATATTTGTATATTGACTTCACAAACTTTCTAAATTAAAGAACACTACAGGTTAATAATTGTAATACATTTAACACTTTTTGCTTTATTTTTCAAGTCCATTCAAGATGTTGATGAGAATTTAATGCCAGCAAATTCTGCTGAACCAACCACCAAAGCTACACCTAAGTCATCTCCTCCTGTTTCCACTGTGCCACCACCTGTCAAATCAGAAGAAAATGGAGGAAAGAGTTGTGATAATCCTGATTCAAAGTCACAGTCAAATATATTGTTTCGAAATTATGTCAAGTTTTTACTTGGAAAATTTCGTGGAAAAGTAAGTTGTTTTAATTGATTTTCAAACTATGTGTATAAGGAAACTTCTTCTATGCAAACTTGGGGTCTGTTGCTTTTGATGTATTAGAAATTTGGTATCAGAGTTATTTGTTATTATGGAAAGGTATGTGTTGTTTGATTTGATACAACAGCAGTTTAAGCTGCTTCTTAACTGTAAATGTACATCTCACAACCTCTCAATATTTGAGGAGTTATGTGAAGATCAGTATATGTGTCAGGTAAAGGCATAAAGGAAAGCATATTTTCTAAACTTTTTTAAAGTCAGTTAACTAAGGTATAGAGAGTTAAATAAAATAAAGTCAAAATCTCATTGTCAGTTAAATGAAAAACTAAAGGCAAAGGTACGAATTTTGAGAGATGATCTAGTCCCATTAAATAGTGGAAAATTATATTTAAAAAAAATCGGTTAAAAAATGTTATTTGAATAAAATTCAGAATTGATTATAGGTAGATTGTTTACATTGCAGTGTCATAACATAAAATTCTACATACTAATTACATTTTGTTAAAGTTTTAAGGGTAAAAGATTAAACTTGACCACTTTTCAATAACCTTAAAGAGGAATTACAAGTAATTACACATAAATTATTTTCAGGTAGAAATGAAATGTTGTGTCCCACACTCACTCTATATTTGTTTCTGAAGATAAGATCCCAATAAACTTATGCTGTCTGTTTTCTAGCTGTCACAGTCATCATCAACAGAAGAATTCCTGTTGTGGATAAAACTGTCGGGAGAAGATGTGAATAATCTTGAAATATTTGCCGCCGGTCAGTCTGATAATGTTCATGATGCTCATGAAATATTGACCTCCATGTTAAAAAGAGTCACAAAGTCCCATTATGGGACAACAGACAAAATGCAGGCATGGTTCCAGGAGAAGTTTGGTGTCTCCATGTGGGACATAATCAAAGTAAGTGAAAATCAATATATACCATTAATTTAACTTTATAGATTGCAGTCTAGCTTGTCTGTCATTGAATCATCAAAAGGTAATCAGATTGTATCTATTGTCATTATGAATGCAATCTAGTTACAGATATGTAGAATAATATGTGTTAGGAGGATTTAAGTCATCCATATTGCATTCCCATTGGAAATAAGTACAAACTGACCATTGTACAATGATTGAATTTACATTTCAGATATTATTTTGAAATATTGATATATATGAGTCTATCTTCTGAAAGAGCTTCTTGAAAATCATAATAATTTGAATGTTTGACATAAAGCTATAATGTGTGTTATCTGAGGCAACATGCAAAGAGTCTATGTTATATAGGTTAACATTGATAAAAAATGATGTCATATTATTGTTTTGTGATCTAGAATGTGTCTGTTGTGAATACATTGTAAGCAATATAATTGTCGTTACATACGGTTAGCATATACACTTAAATTTATATTTAAAATCAATTCAAAATTTGTTACCTTGAAATCATGTATCTCAAAGACCCTGTTTAAGTTGAAGTATTTCATCAGTCCCAGGCAAACTCCACATCAAACATTTGAACTCCCTTAAATCGAATACTCGGATAACTTGAAGTTTTCCTACAGTCCTGCTTAATTCAAGATAATGAGGTCCATCCATGTAACAGTAAAGAACTATTATGAATTTGCCAAAAACATTGTTATTCTTGGAAAAATTGTTATTTTTGCAATGTTCTAAGTTGCTATTTTTGAGAATAGAATAAAGTCACAAAAAGATACCATGGAAATGAAATCAAGAAAGGAAATTCATAGTTAATTTGTATTTATGCTATTAATCAGCATGTTTTAAGGTGCTTTTCAGTTTTTTATTGCTGCAAAAGAGTTTGATGGAAAACATATATAAATGTGTAAACAGCTTATAGTTATGCTCCAGTAGATATACAAATTACATTTATGCCTTATACATATTGGAGCATCACTTAATACTCCAGGGAGGAGTATCAAGGATGCTGTTGGAGGAAATGTTTAACAATGCATGAATTCTGCCATACCTCTGATACAGACACAATGAAGATGGAAAACCAGCAATGGTAACCATTATCAAATTCACATTAATATAAAATCTTCATTTTTAGGTTCTCACTATGATAGCATTGGTGTGTGTTACCATGGCAGCAGGAATTAACATACGACTGACTTGGCGTCAGTTTGTCCTTAAAGCATGTATCCTGGCCTTCCTGATTAGTATTCCAATGACCTGGTATGAACTCTTTAAGGTGAGATTTACAGACTTTCTTTACAGCAACCATCTCTGAAATTTCCAAGGTGGTTCTTAGTGATGTATCTTGTGGTTGGTAATTTTGGTTGTGTTTATTTTTGTATTTCAGTGTTTTAATGGTGACAAGCTTTTGTTTCCAGATTAATACTCTGTCCCTTTTAAAGTTTTGATTCAGGTATAGTGAATGCTTATCACCTCATCAATCGATTGAATAGAAGAATTTCTTCTCTAGTTTTATTTTTGTCTTGAAAGGGTGTTGAGCAACTTGGTAAGATGATTGAACTAAAGTAAGAAAAGGGACATTTTGTTCATTAAAAAAAAAATTTTTAGGTGGGAAGGCGGGGTGGATTACCAAAACATTGGGGTGAAAATGATTTTTATGTCTCAGAGTGACCTGATGTGATTCCCTTTTGTCTGGTGTCATGCATCATAAACTTTTAATAGTTTTGACTTCTGGCAAACCTGTGAATCAATTTCAATGAAATTTTACATTTTTTGGTGCTAAATTTGCACCAAAATTGTAAATCATATGGCCCCCCCAACTCCAAGGGGTGGGACCAAAAATGGTCAAATTGATTGAAACTTCAAAAATTTCTTCTCAGATCACAGGTATGGTTGAATCAAATACTTGTTATTGATGGAAAGTCCTTCAGAGGCTTAACCAAAATTGAAATTTTTTACGACCCCAGGAATTACCTTTCTCTTTGTGGAGGGGGTAAAGTTTACTATAGTTTATATAATAAAATTACATTTTTGAACATTATTTGCTTATTTTCTATTGGTAATGGTTCAAACTTTGTTAGAATTATCAGTATAAAATGAGAGTTTTTTGAGATGCACATATTGACCTTGGCTAACCCCCAGGGACTGATGAGTGGGGCCCAAAATGGGTCAAATTGACTAGAATTACAAAGATGTTCTACTGGTTTTTAGTTTAATTTTTTAAAATTCAAACTTGGTTAGAAGCCTTAGCGTGGGATAGCACAATGTTATGTACAGTTTGCATTTGTACAATGTAATGAAAGCTATCTTACAAAATAATTTCTATGACATGTTACAAGAAGCATTGTACCTCAGTTGACTGTCAAGGCCCTTGGGCCACTTGTTTCATACAGTCTTGAAAAAGACTTCAGTTTTCTCCATTAATTTTCCTTTCAACATGTCTATTATTTTTTTTGAAAATTTATTCCATCCTCAAAAATACCAAAAAGTGAAATATTTAAAAAAAAAAAAAAAAAAATGACCTTCCAATATTTAGCTCCTACAATATAGTTAAAAACTGAATGAAAAGATAAAATGTACAGCAGGTTTTAGTGGAGAAATTTCCTGATCTTACTTGCAGGCGGCAGAGATCCAGCAGCAGACTGTTGCCATGAAGGATGCACCACCAGAGTGTGTGAGAGATAAAGAAGATGTAGATGATGGTGTACTTGACAACTGGTTTGGTGTGGCTCAATCAGCATTCCGTCAATTGTTCACATTTGAAAAAGACAATTGTCAGAAATACTATGAACACATGCTGATAAGCCCATTTCTGAAGGTACCACCTACAAAGGTAAGGAAAGGTTCTTAAAAGCTTCATAAGAGGAACAACTTCCCAAGGTTAGGAATGTTAGTGTCCCATTTCCTTTTCTTAACAATATTGATTCTAATGAAAGTTGGGTATTAGAATGGTTATTGTTTTAATTTATTCAGTTTTGTTTACCATTATAATGAAAGTTTATTTCATCTTTTTTTATTTGTGCTTCTCTTCATATTAACTTATGCCATTTTTAAGATACAAAAAGTTCAGTTAAAAAATTTGGGCACTTTCTTGATCATACTAATCAGCATGCCTAAGAGTACTTCATCAATGTTTTCTTTTTGTATATTTCAGGCCTTAGCTGTGACATTTGTCCGTTTTTTCGTGTCCCCGTTAAAGGATGTTGGTGAAGCTTTAGGAGAGTTCCTTAGAGCCTTACTTATTGACCTACCTATAACAATGTATCCGATAGCCATTATTGCAGTGACTTTATTCTTATTCCTCTTTCTGTTTATGTGGATGGGCTACAGTATTCGTCTGCCATTCTTTTTGTCAATTGAGCCCGGTCAACCAGCTGTTGCAAGTGGAGACACAGGTACTCAGGAAGCAATAGAGGAGCATAGCAAAGAATTACAGAACCAGGTGTGTGTGAATACTTGTGAGTTATCACAAGGTGTTTCTTTTTAATCTTTTTTGAGTTTCAACTTTTAGGTAGGCTCTGTTGACTTATATCTTGATGGAAAGAGGTTACCCAAGAGGGACATACATGTAATTTGGGACCAATATCTTTCATTGGACAAAAATGCTTTAATCTAACATGTGATTATGACTGCCCATCTACTTTGGGGTTTGGTCAATCCAGCCAGTTTCAGTTGACGGTATGAGTTTCTAGAAAAAGGTCAGTCTTCCATTATTCAGGGAGTGATGACCATATGGAATAGCATGGCTTAACTCTACATACATATTAAAACTGACCTTTTTTTTCTGTAGGAGCCTTGTCAGAGCTTGTAGAAAAATATATTGCAAGGCACTTGAAGATTTGTGTTTACTAGCATATGGACCAATATAGTATTGTTTATATCTGTTATACCTGTATAATTGTGTTTCAAGACAGGTTTACCTGTATTTTTGTGTCAACAGACATTTGTATTTGTTAATTTGTGTTATAAGATGGGTGTACCTGTATATTTGCATTAATAGAGAGATGTGTATGTATATATGTGTTTAAAGACAAGTGTGCTGGTATATTTATTTTGATAGAAAAGTGAACCTGTTTATTTATATGTTTGGAGACAGGTATATCTGTATATTTGTGTATACAGGTGTGTAATTTGCTATAGACAGGAGTACCTTTTTATTTGTGCTATAGACAAGTATATATTTGCAATATGTTTCAGATGACGGCTATCCAAGAAGCACTGGTTAATCAGGAAGAGAAGGTTATGGAGAGGATCATGCACATGGAGAAAGTCCAGATGGCTGCTATTGAATATGGTGCATCATTACAACAGCAGGGTGCAGGGGACCGCCTTCCTACCCTACCACAGAGAGGAAGTAATCCCCCAGCGACCCAACAAATGTCAATAGAGGCCCCAGAGCATGATGTGGAGAGAAGTTTATCGTCAGCCTCATCAGGAGGTAGCATTGTTGAGCTTTATCCTAACATGGAAAATATAGAGATTAAAACACCAATTCCATGTTCTGAGGTAACTGATTCAGAAAACTGGACGCAGATTACAAATGCTGACATAGTAAAAAATGAGGAGGATGGAGGTGTTAAAACAGACACCGGTTCCTCTCCACCGGTAGCTAGTACTGGTGAGGGAACAGCCACAACTCCTAGTCCTACACAACAGTCTAATGAGGTTGTGACACTTCAACCAGCAGGTCTTATCAGTCCTGAACCCTCTTGATTGTCTTCCTTATTCCTTTTCCATCAGTATTGATTTAGGTTGTTTTGCTTATTTGTTTTCATGAATATAGGTGCATTATCTCCCTTGAACAACTTTAATAGTTACGTTTCATGTTAATCTCATTCACAGTTTGTTCCATTGTCTAATTTGAAGTTATTAGCCCAGCTACATTCCATTTGTATTTTGTTTTGTTTTGGTTTTTTTTCGCTGAAGCAACATAATAATTTTCATTTCCCAAGTATATTTGTAATGCTGCCTCAGTAGGTATCAAAAGCAGATCACAAACTGTACAAATGAGTTGAGATTTGAGGGTTGAGGAGGTGGACTGTTCTGTAATGCTACTAAAATATTGTGTACAGTTTTCTGGATTCACCAGATTATTTGAAAGAAAAGTACTCTTACGTCTGATACTTAATACATATGTATTACCTAGATGGTTATTACCATCATTTCGTAGTAAAACAATACCTTGACAATTGAAATTCCCTTACTACTTAATATTCCAGAATTACCAGTACCCAGCACTGTCAAAAAGGAATATTTAAGAAAACTGGAAAAACAGCTGTTGATTTATCAAATCTGTAGTGGATATTGGTATTGGATTTCTTATTCCATATCATTATGTAGATAATAATGAAAGAATGTATTTAGAAAAATGTCTAATAGACATGCATAAATGTTGGAAGACCCCTTTGAATAGCAGTACATCACATACATTGTCATTTTTTTTTCTATGTATGTATTCAAACCGAAACAGTCTTCTTAATGATATTTTTTTTATATCAAACTAATTTCATGCTGAATTGTTCATAATCAAAACAGTTTAAGAAGCAGGGTATGTGAGATGTACAGATTTAAATATCTGTGCTTGATTCCCTACACAAAGTGCTGGGCATAAAGACATTGACACAGAATGTTGTATAATTTAGTCAGAGGAAAATGTTGCTTGTGATACAACAAATTTGGTTTATAGATTGGACTTGGCAATTCTTTATTAACTCATTTATCAAGTGTATATTTAATTTGTGAATGCTAACTTCTACATATTTATGAGATTTTGTATACATGTATTAAGCTTATAATATTGTGTTTATCAAGCAAACTTAAGTTTGTTGGAGTATTGTGTGTGAAATAGGTCCATGTGTTGTCTTGATGCCAGTAAAACTGAAGATGATTTACTTTTGTAGCATTAGAGCTTTAGGAAGGATGAAATTAGCATCACTGTACATAATGTTATGATGTCAAAACAAAGTAAAATGTTCAAGTTAAGATACCACCTGTTGTGTTTTCTTTTTTGGCATCTTTGATGAATGGAATATTCAGAAGAAGAAAAAGGTGGTGGGGAGCAACAGGCCTGAATCTTTCATCTGTTCTGCAGCTTACACAGAAGACTTTGTCAGTTCCTAAAGTCAATTTCTACAAACTTGAAAGTGTATCCTTCAAGCATACTACATACAAGTACCTGTACCCAGGACTTAATGCTCGTAGGAAAGAAGAAATTTTCTTCACACCTTTGACCCATGTAAATTTCATTGTGGATTCATTCATTTGAGCAAACATGTTTGCCCTTCATCCCAGAATGTTACATACCTGTTTGTTATTGTGAAGAAATTGTTTTCAGTTTTTAACCTTTGACCCCAGTTACCTTGAAAGTGGGTCAAGGTCATTCATTTGAACTTGGTAGCCCTTCATCCCAGCATGTTACAGACCCAATGCTTTTTGGTTATTGAGAAGAGGTCATGCAAAGGGAATGCTTGGTGCTGGACAGCAGGAGATAAGCAATCAAATTGTAGATGGTTTTTTTAACAAATGCAGGAGAGGTAATTATTACATTCTGATAGAAAACTGTGTTGGTTACTTGGTATAGTATTGTGACATTTAGATCGACATCTGATTAAGTTTTGATGGTCTTTGGTTAAGGTTAATGATCATTATGGATTGTGTTAACTTTTTCTCCAGAACCACTGAAGACTATAACCTAATCAATATGATCTGAGGTATACATGTCATAAGTTTGGCAACATCCAAATTTCAAGATGACTGCCAGCATACTTTTTGGACTTGGATATTTGAATTTTGGGACTGCCCATTCTCTGCATCTATTGAAGGGATGTTCATGAAACTCCATCTATATTAAATGATTAATATGGCTCTTAGTTGCATAGCTACATTTTGAGTACGACTAAATTTCAAAGATTGCTGTCAGAAGCCATTTTGGATTTTTCACATTAGAAGTTACTAACTGCTGTATCTTATGATAAACAGATCAGCAAAACACTTCTTAATTTAATATGGTGTCAAAATGTATGATTGCCCATGGTCAGTTTTTAAAAAAAAATTTGAAAAATTACAATGGCAGAGAAGTAACAATCTTGAATTTGGATGGACTGTGTGATTTTTTTATCAAAGTAAAAAAAAAAAAATTGTTGATGGGTAGCAAATTTCGCTAAGGATATTTTACCTGTGTTCTGATGTCCTGTCTCAATGACTACAAGGGACTTTATTTCTTTAGAGATTTCCATCAAACTTCATGATGCTAAGGTCAAGAATGGCAATAACTCAGATGAGTTCAGGGTTCCAAGGTCAAGGTCACTGTTTATGTTTTGATAGATAATGTTGTATGCATCAAACAGTGGGGGCTATAAGGTCTTGCTGAGATTTTCTAGTTTCTGCTGCATATATGAAAACTAGTTGAAATCAGTTTCCTAGTTAATTTAATAAGTACTATATCAGCTAACATTGCATGTCGTACTTGTCCAAGAGATTCAAAGCAAATCAAAATTTACGTTTGACTGACCCAATGTTTGAGCTCCCTTCCTATATTGTGGTCAGCTTTGGTTTCATATGGTGTCTTCTAGAGGATGGGTCTGACCCTTATTTGTGTTTCTTTATTCTCAAGGTTGATCATAATTGTTGTGAGCTTTGTCAAATACCATTATAGTGTTTCAAATGAACAAACATTTCAAATAGAAAACAAAGAATGCTTCAACTTTGTAATAATCCTTAAATAATCATTTTATTGAAAATTTATAAATTTAATCTTATACATCATTTGCTTTATCAATCTATCACACAAATGTAAACATTTATTACTGATTTGAAAACCTAATGAATGGATCATTCACAGATTCACTTTACAGATTGTGAAAAAAACCCCTACATTATGTACAAGGTACACTGAATAGACAATTAACCTCTGACCCCAATGTCCTCAACTACAAAGTAATTGATATGCAAAAATAATCCACAGTAAGCTTTTAACTCGGCTATCAATAAGAAACTACTGTACTAAAAATGGAATTGAAGAAACGAGATTTTCTAAACATGCAAGGTCATGCTGTTGTGGAAGTGAAGTGTCCAGGTCACCTTACCAATCTGTATTTCAGTATCAAGCAATCCACCTGCCATGGAATAAGGCCAACTAAACTTATTCTAAAACCTTCCAGTCTGTGACTGTCTAGTTACCCACAACACACAAACATGGCTGGATATAACCAGAAGAGGGTCACAGCATCAGAGTAAGAGGAAAAAGGAAAAACAAATTCCTGCACAGACCCAAAACAATTGATCTTGTGTTTCTTGCCTATAATCTGTAGCTCTACCAACTAAGTCAAAAAGCATTCTCCAACAGCAGAGTAACAGAGACCTTTTTAACACTATGTACAGGCCACATCTCCTTTTACACTATGAAGACTTAGATTCTACTTGTAGTGAAGCTCAAAGGTTTTTTCTTCCTTTCACACACTGATACATTTTCCTAATGAATACAAAATGTTTAAAACTTAACTATATATTACACATCACTCAAAACAGCAACAAGCACGTGAATCCAAACAACCACACTTCAGAATACTGTAAAACAATGTGAACTATAAAGTAGATGATGAACACACTGGTGCAAAATATGCTTTAATTTATTGGTTGAGAGTGAACTCCATTTGAGCAATAGTACACTTACAACTCACACATACAGAGAGTAAGAAAGATTCTATTTTCAGACTGAAAAATACAACTCATCAAGATAAAGTGTTATTTATTCCAAAGGTTGCTTCCAATTGTAATCATTGTTTGTGTTTGTATGAAGCCCACAAACTACAATTCAGTAGCTACCCGGTAAGCTACGGTTGTATCATTAAGCACATTCATTTGTTATTATATAAAGAACTTGAAATTTTACAAAACAATAAACCAGGATAAGTACAACTCTTTATACAGTATTTGAGGACACATGTTGTTTTGTTTAGTAACCCGATATACATATTTGTGTTTTAGTTGTCCTTTATCATGTTTAGTGTGCTTTTCTACCCATGAACAGTCAGGGTCATTTTAAGGCTGGGTAAAGTGTAGAAGTTGGTAGCTTCATCACTGAACAATATACAGGTTGTCTGTTGCAAGGCATCCAGAGTAACACCATGATATCAGTACAGACCAGTCTGTTTCTCAGCTTCCTGAGAAACACAAACCACCATGGGTAAGAAGTGTTGTAAGGAGTGTCGTAGCATGCACCTCAATGTAGGTCAATGCTCTACAGACTGATTCAGTGCAGCCCCTCTCTTCTGTCAATATGCTGAACTGTGATAAAGTTCTAACATGACAGGTTAGCGCTCTAAATGGAAGTAACATTAAGTATATAAGCATAAGTTATTCTAATCAACAGTATATTGGGGTAGTAATGTTATATAAATTCTCTTACACGTGTACATCTATTCATCTTCAAGTTGGCACATTATATGATAATAACCCATTATTCAACAACTTCCAGTAAATCTTGTTTACTTAGATATGTGGATATCTGAATCATATCCAAACCATTGACGTCAGTAATAAGTAGATATAAGCACTAAGAAGAAATGGTTCCTATCTCCTCGGTATGAGAATAAAATCCACCCAAAACTTGTACATGTGTCTGGGAAGTTAAGGGGCAAACATGGTCTGGATGTAAAACCTCCTAGACTCAATATTGTAAATATTTCTAAAATTTAGCACAAAACAATTTTGCTGATTGGGATTGGTCAGTTCAGTCATTTCACATCCTATTTACTCTTGACCAGTTCTTTCTTTTCAAACACAAAGCAATTATGAAAACTGGAAATTACACACGAATTATGAAACTATTTTGTTACGAAGGTATTCTAAAAGTGCTGGCGTTCCTTTAGCTAGCACAGCTGGTCTAGGATTTCTGAAGGGATTTCCACCAAGCTGCAAGCTCCTGCAAGTTAAAGAAATGTATGTAAAAAATAAGTACATAATATAAATTTCTGGGCTCACTAATCACTTGATCCAATAATTAAATTAAGTTCCTCCTGACAATGTTAAGGAATCTTTAAATTACCCGAGTATTTTGAATAAGGTAGCAATATCATGGGAAAGAAAAATAAGAGACGCAAGGGCCTTCACAGTTTCCCGAGTCAAAATGTTTCTTGTAAAATATCATAGAAATGATTTCATTGAAATCAGAAGTTTGTAACTATCATTAATACATACTTGAGTTGAGAACAATTGCCCAGTTCTGGAGGAACTTGTGATATATTATTATTCTGTAGATCTAGAGTTCCTATCCTGGGGAGTGAGCACACACCAGCAGCATCTACTGTGTCCACCTTACAATTGTCCATAAACAGTATCTCTAGCTTCTTCAACTCAAACAACACCGGAGGAATGATGGTAAATCTGTAATGGAGTCAGACACCAGTGTAGCACAGAGTAATATATATATAACAAATGAAGTAATGAGATCCAGGGACCTTAATGGTCACTTGAGTTCTGTGAATGCTGTCATTTTTCTTGTTGTGTTACATACATTCCTGTTTACAAAGTAAGATAACTTGAATGATATGTTAAAGAAAATGTTAAATGGCAAATAACATTAACTACCATCAAAACTCATAATTCTAAACATGAATTTTCAATAGGAATTTAACAAATTATAATCAAAAGTGCATTTTTCCTATAAAAACTATTGTAAAATTTATCTCCTCCTCAGGGGGTAATAGTCATTTTTAATAGTGCTGATTTTGCCTCTGAAATACTTCAAAGCATATATCTAAATATAAATGTTAAACTAAAGCCTATCTCCTGTTCTCTTGGCAACAGGAAAAAGGGCAAAAGTTTTAGAAATTTCCCCAGTATGCAGTAATTCTTATAATCTTAAAATCTTGAAATATTTGCCCCACTTTCTATACATATATATATACTTTTTATATAGTACAAGAGGCCCAAGGGTCACCTGAGTCATCATAGAAATGATCCCCTCCCCAGGGAGAAATGTGAGACCTTGGGGTCAGGAAATTTACAATTTTTGTAAAGCATCTGAAGTCCTTTCCATCCATGAAAATACTTGATTCTGCCATACCTGGGATTTGACAGGTTGACTTTTACAATTTCAACCAATTTGACTCTTTTCGCCCTGCACCTCAGGCCCCTGGCAGTTGGAGACCATATAATTTACAATTTTAGTGGGCCTTTAGCCATGGCAGGTTTTTGTAAAATTCCTTTGAAATAGGAGTTTTCCGGTAGAAATCGAAAATGTTAAAAAATCACAATGCACGGCGCTGCACAAAAGAGGATTGCAATAGGTTGCCCTGAGACTTTGTCAAGATTAGACTGATGACACAAAATAGGTACAATAAGCAGCTGCACAGAACATACCTATTGTATGATAAGAAAACATCTCTCATATTCTCCAGAGATTCCATGTCCGAAGGCAGCTCTGACAAAGAATTGTTCCTACAAATATATAGGAGATTCAGCCGGTTTATAATCATATGTAACGAGAATAAACCATTCCTTTACATACTAATATAAAAGATGGATTTAAGATTCAGTAAGTTAAGTATAACAGGTGTATTTCATCACACATAAATTTCACCGTTTGGTGTCAAAACCAGAATGCCTTATTTCAGTCACATCAAATTTTTGCCATTTAAGACCAGTAACTTAAACTATAAGAGGTAAATCTTTCTCAATAAAAATCCAATATTCGCTGTGTTAAAAAAGAAAAAATTAGACAGTATTTTGAAATAATAAGAATTATTTTGTTTATGTACAAAAATCTTGATTTGCAAAATCCATAAAAGAGACTCAAAGTAACCAATTGCTGATATTGTTAATATTCAAATCTTTTTTAAATCTAAATATGCTTAATTTGATGCAATCAAATTCTAAATCCAATATCATTCTATGGCACCTTAGTGTAATAATGAATTAGTGTATCCACATTTATTCCTAAGAAAACAAATGACAGAAATACCAACTAGCATAATCATGATTTAGTGAAAAATCTTTAGTGTGAAAAGCACTAGAATATAGTTACAAGCTAAAAGATTTGCATTTATATTATGTGTCTTAGGAAAAATTGATGACAGATAATATGGATTTTTATCAGAATAACTTAATCAATACCCCTCCGAGTGGAACTCTCTAATGATGTAACAAAATCTAGATAGAGTCATTTCCCTTCATTTTTGTAGAGAAATTGAAGCTGACCTCAGATCCAGGGACACAAGGTTCATGAACAGACTGATATCTTGGTGGAGAGAAGTGAAGCGGTTGAAACCAAGGTTGAGTACTTTCAGTGTGTCCTGTAGCAGCATCAGACTGTTAAGTGAAAAACAGTATATTTGACTGTCAAAGGCAGCAAAACACAAATATAAATAAAAAATACTGAAAAAAATCTACAGTGGTACATGATGTGTGAAATACTACATGGATATCATTCCAAAGCATATATATATATATATAAGATTTGACAGTGGTATTTGATACAGTATACAAGATAGGCCATGGACAAAGTACCTTTATACATATAGGACAAATAAAAAAGGGGGAAATTATTCGTTTTTTTTCAACACATGTATTGGCCCCTAGATAATGCTGGAAAAGTCAGGGCAAACTAGGTTATTCAAGTTCACAAATTCAGGTTTAAATACAACCAGGTCACAAAGCTTCCTTACAGAAAAGAAACACACAACACAAATGAATTGATACAAGACTCACTTGTCAGGTAATTCAGAGAACTTGTTTTTACTGATGTCTACAGTCATGACTCCCGACTTCTCAGCTACAGCCCAAACATCTAATGGTACCTCTGTAGCTTGCTTCCCACTGCAATATCATAAAAAACAACATTTTTTAAAAACTGAAACCCTGTTTCTAACATCTTCAGAAATTATGACATTTCTGTATTCTTCTAGTCACTTAATCAATCATGGCAGTTTTTGTTTATTGGTTTGACCAAGGTTGTTTATGAAAAAAAGATGGTCCTTTTTATCTTATTTTGCTTTCTGTCTTGACATTTGTTTTTGAAAGTTACTGGCTACTTATGTAGGAATACTGGAAATGGACAGACATCTTTTCATTGAAGGCTACTGGCTACTTATCCAGGGATACAGGAAGTAAACTTGCTCATAGACTTTTGAGTGATAATCTTTTCGGAGAACAGAAGAAAAATCCACACGGTTTGTGCACCTGATGCAAAGTTAGTTTTACCTGTATTCCAATAATTTAGATGTGTGCATGTCGTGAGCACTGACCCCATCACCAGAGCCCCCTATGATTCCTGACTGACCCTCTGTAGATTCCAGCCCCTGGGAGCTGATTGGTGGGGGTTTAGGTTCATCTATACGACTCTGTAGATACTTCTTTAGCTCCATTGTTCCTCTCTGTAAATCATATGCTACAACTTGTACACAAAGAATCATGCTCAAAAGTTATAGGACAACAGCTAAAGTCACAGAACAACAGCTCAGGTCAAAGGACAACAGCTAAGGTCACAAGACAAAAGATCAGGTCATCATAGTGCAACAGCAAAGGTCATAGGACAACAGCTAAGGTCACAAGACAAAAGATCAGGTCATCATAGTGCAACAGCAAAGGTCATAGGACAACAGATAAGGTCACAGGACAAAAGATCAGGTCACCATAGTGCAACCGCAAAGGTCATATGACAACACCTTAGGCTATAAGACAACAGCTAAGGACACCGGACAATAGATGAGGTCAAAGGCCACAGCTAGGATTACAAGATGACCCTTAAGGTCATAGAACAACAGCTAAGGTCACCAGACAATAGATAAGGTCACAGGACAGAGCTATGGTCACAAGATCACCAGACAACTGCATAAGTCACAAGATCACAGCTAAAGTTACATGAATACAACTATGGTCAAAGATCAACAGCTCAGGTCATAAAACAAAAGCTAAGGTCATCATAGGGCAACATGAGTTAAAAATAATTTACAACTCAGAACTGTCTTTCTTTGAAATCAATATTTATTTGCAATCAAATTAAATGCTAAATATTAGTTCATAAAATCATATAAAACCAATAGTCATTATAGCCAATATCATTATTGTATTATTGTATTTAGTTGATTACAATCTTTTACACAATTTCTTACCATAATGATATCACGTCTGATAGATTTCATAGGGTTTCCATCCAGAACAATAGATTTCAGAGATACAATTAAACCCAAGGTAAAAGGAAGCCTGCAAATAATAGATAATACATAGAATAATGAAATCTAATAGTACCTTTGACTGTTCACAGGTTGACAAACATAGCAAACAAACATTTCACTTGCATTTAGATATGGTAAGAACTCCAAAGAGAGAGCCAACGCCTGTAGTTTAGAGTTCAGTGATGTTCAGTCATCCCCTGCTTGGATACCTAAAGGTAGGCAGGGCGTTCCACAAGGAGAAATAGAAATCTAGGGAGGTGGTAGGACACAACAAGTTGGGTAAGTTTTAGGTTTCTTTACTGTTGACTAGTTTCGTCCCGACTTGCGGTGTCCTACCATCTCCCTAGATATGGTAAGGATATTGACCTTTCACTGAATACCCAGTAAGATTTTGGTTGATGATGTTAAGGTTTTACATACCCAGGAAGATTGTTGTTTGACAAGTCAAGCCTCTCCAGTCCTTCTAGTAAAGTGATGGCCTCTGGGAGGACAGCTAGCTGGTTGTCACGAAGATCTAACACCGTCACAGACTTAAGACACTCTAGGTGGTCCATCGTTATCTGCTGGATTCGGTTATTACCTAGATGTAGTTCCTGTAAGAGGATAGTACAGTGTCTGTTAAAAGGTACCTTGTTTTATGATTTAAATGTTTATTTATATAGAAATGCTGTTGGAAACCGTTAAAAAATTTCATTTAGTTTTTAATTGAAACCATTTACATTTTTGTTCTTAAGTTATCACTTGATAACAATATCTTGCTGTTTATTTTGATTACATTCAGCAGAAATAGCAATAAAACTACCACCAATATTTATAAAACAATAAAACAAAATCAGCACTGACAATTTGATTTAAATGATGAACAGGTAAAAGTAAGATTAAATGTGAGTTTTTGACAAACATATAGGGGAACTCTGTGGAGATTAATGATACCTTTAGCTTATTACATTGACTGAGTAATGGGATGTCAGCAAGGTGGTTGTGTCGTACATAGAGTTGCTCCAAGTACAATAGTTGTCCCAATTCATCTGGCAGCACCCCGAGATCGTTATGTGTCAAGTCAAAGTACCGTAGACCTTCAGTCAGAATCAGATGTTGTATAGAGATTTAAATCAGTAAAGGCTACATACACAGGAATCAATGCAATGACAAGAAAATCAAATGTGTTGTTTGAAATCATGATTACACCAGCATCCTTCCTGATTACACCTCTCAGCCAATACACTTGTAGATAAATATCCCTCCTGATTACACTATCAACCTTACACTTGTAGATAAGTATCCCTCCTGATTACACTATCAACCTTACACTTGTAGATAAGTATCCCTCCTGATTACACTATCAACCTTACACTTTTAAATAAGTATCCCTCCTGATTACACTATCAACCTTACACTTGTAGATAAGTATCCTTCCTGATTACACTATCAACCTTACACTTGTAGATAAGTATCCCTCCTGATTACACTATCAACCTTACACTTGTAGATAAGTATCCCTCCTGATTACACTATCAACCTTACATTTTTAAATAAGTATCCCTCCTGATTACACTATCAACCTTACACTTTTAGATAAGTATCCCTCCTGATTACACTATCAACCTTACACTTTTAGATAAATATCCCTCCTGATTACACTATCAACCTTACATTTTTAGATAAGTATCCCTCCTGATTACACTATCAACCTTACACTTGTAGATAAGTATCCCTCCTGATTACACTATCAACCTTACACTTGTAGATAAGTATCCCTCCTGATTACACTATCAACCTTACACTTGTAGATAAGTATCCCTCCTGATTACACTATCAACCTTACACTTTTAGATAAATATCCCTCCTGATTACACTATCAACCTTACACTTTTAGATAAATATCCCTCCTGATTACACTATCAACCTTACACTTGTAGATAAGTATTCCTCCTGATAACACTATCAACCTTACATTTTTAGATAAGTATCCCTCCTGATTACACTATCAACCTTACACTTGTAGATAAGTATCCCTCCTGATTACACTATCAACCTTACACTTGTAGATAAGTATCCCTCCTGATTACACTATCAACCTTACACTTGTAGATAAGTATCCTTCCTGATTACACTATCAACCTTACACTTTTAGATAAATATCCCTCCTGATTACACTATCAACCTTACATTTGTAGATAAGTATCCCTCCTGATTACACTATCAACCTTACATTTTTAGATAAGTATCCCTCCTGATTACACTATCAACCTTACATTTTTAGATAAGTATCCCTCCTGATTACACTATCAACCTTACATTTTTAGATAAGTATCCCTCCTGATTACACTATCAACCTTACACTTGTAGATAAGTATCCCTCCTGATTACACTATCAACCTTACACTTGTAGATAAGTATCCCTCCTGATTACACTATCAACCTTACACTTGTAGATAAATATCCCTCCTGATTACACTATCAACCTTACACTTGTAGATAAATATCCCTCCTGATTACACTATCAACCTTACACTTGTAGATAAATATCCCTCCTGATTACACTATCAACCTTACACTTGTAGATAAGTATCCCTCCTGATTACACTATCAACCTTACACTTGTAGATAAATATCCCTCCTGATTACACTATCAACCTTACACTTGTAGATAAATATCCCTCCTGATTACACTATCAACCTTACACTTGTAGATAAGTATCCCTCCTGATTACACTATCAACCTTACACTTTTAGATAAGTACCCCTCCTGATTACACTATCAACCTTACACTTTTAGATAAGTACCCCTCCTGATTACACTATCAACCTTACACTTTTAGATAAGTACCCCTCCTGATTACACTATCAACCTTACACTTGTAGATAAGTATCCCTCCTGATTACACTATCAACCTTACACTTGTAGATAAGTATCCCTTCCTCAATTCAACAACTACATTTTTCTCTTTGCACAGATTTCTATTATATCAAATATCAAAAATCAAATATCAAATGTAAGAATAATTGTCATCCCTAATAAATAGATATCTACTAAAACACTGAACCAATGCCTGACAGGATGCTGGATCAAACAATTTCACTGAATTCAACCCTATAAGAGAGCACTTTAACCAAACATTGAATATACTTCTGGTGGCAGTCTCTTGACCTTGTTATATGAAGGTCAAATATTGCACCAACTTCCATTGATAGTTTCCATATTTAACTATTGGAGTCAGTTCTTACCAAACATTGAACCAACTTCTGGTGGTAGTCTCTGTATCTTGTTGTTTGAAGCATTAAACTTGCTTAGTCTGGACAGGTGACCTATTCTCCGTGGTAGTGCCATCAATTGGTTGTTGGACATGTCCTTAAAAAGTATCATGTTTAAAAGGTAACTCATTTGTCAAGTCACTGAAATGATTATTCAATGGATTCACTAAACTTTAACTCTCTGTAACATTTATTTTCTGAATACCTTTCCTGTCATTCATACAGTAAGTCTCACCCATGTTCTGTACCTATATTTACCCTATACAGTACAGTCTCACCCATGTTCTGTACCTATATTTACTCTATACAGTACAGTCTCACCCATGTTCTGTACCTATATTTACCCTATACAGTACAGTCTCACCTTTGTTCTGTACCTATATTTACCCTATACAGTAAGTCTCACCCATGTTCTGTACCTATATTTACCCTATACAGTACAGTCTCACCCATGTTCTGTACCTCTATTTACCCTATACAGTAAGTCTCACCTTTGTTCTGTACCTATATTTACCCTATACAGTACAGTCTCACTCATGTTCTGTACCTATATTTACCCTATACAGTACAGTCTCACCCATGTTCTGTACCTATATTTACCCTATACAGTACAGTCTCACTCATGTTCTGTACCTATATTTACCCTATACAGTGAGTCTCACCCATGTTCTGTACCTATATTTACCCTATACAGTAAGTCTCACCCATGTTCTGTACCTATATTTACCCTATACAGTAAGTCTCACCCATGTTCTGTACCTATATTTACCCTATACAGTACAGTCTCACCCATGTTCTGTACCTATATTTACTCTATACAGTAAGTCTCACAAATGTTCTGTACCTATATTTACCCTATACAGTACAGTCTCACCCATGTTCTGTACCTATATTTACCCTATACAGTACAGTCTCACCCATGTTCTGTACCTATATTTACCCTATACAGTAGTCTCACCCATGTTCTGTACCTATATTTACCCTATATTGTACATTCTCACCCATGTTATTACACCTATATCTACTCCATATTGTACAGTTTTACCCAGGTACTGTACCAGTATATACCCTAGGGTAAACAATAAGGTATACTGCTACAGTACATATATGGAAATTATTCCATGCTACTAGTTTACTTTTTCTTTCATCTGATTGTATTATTGTATGTCAAACGTTTTAATTCACAATTTTGTTTTAACTGTATTAATTTTCCCAACATTATTCTATTAACTTGACTATCCTTACCAGATCTTCCAGGTTGTTGAGACTACCGATGCGTTCGTCTATCCTTGTGATCTGATTGTGAGCCATGTGAAGTACTCTCAAACTTACTGCCTCTGTGACGCATTCTGGTAACTCGAACAGTTTGTTTCGGCTAAAGGAAAGAAAGAAGAATATATATTTTTTTCACAGATAAACACTATAGAGTTTTTGTTCACTAGTCTAAAAGAGTATGCAACAAATTTGTAACAGCTGAGAAGTTTGACCTATTACATCAGAGCAAACCTTGATGAAATAGGGTCAAATTTTCAATTCAGATGATCAAATGAAGTAATTCACTGCAGGGTATCTAATTGTGTAGTCATTTAATAATGGCAAGTACAGTAAAATATTCTTAGATGGCACAATATCACATTTTCTTTATTTCATTCAGCGTTGTGGGAATGAGTGTAAAATTCAGCATTTTGAAACCAAAAGTGAAGGGTTCATGTTTGTTGTGTTTTATTTTTTTTCAATTTCTAAACTTAATATTTTATAGTTCATGTAACAGTAAACATTTTCCTTGTCCTGGAGAACAGTCTTGGATTTATCACTGATGAAGTATTGTAGGATAGTCATGCCAGGTACCTGGTGTAAACTGTTAATGCTCATCAGTAGGGCATGTCACTAAGCCGTCAATATCAGGTTTGTATAGCACTGTGTACACGTGTGTGTTCAAACAAACTGAGCCTCCCACCTGATTCATTCAGGCAGGTAATAATTCCAGTGTAGGAGTAAGAATTTTGCATTTTTCGCTTTTTTCTATTGATGTTAACACTTACCGGTTCATACTTTTGTGTTTCAAAATGAGTGTCTAAATCAGGTAAAATTTGCACCTCACTAAAATAACCTGCTTTAAATCTCCTGATTTCAATTCCATTAATACCCAATATAATGATGGCTGGTAATTATAATTGATAACCATCTCAAGGGCATCTATTATTTGTTACTTATACTATATTAATTCTAATAAATGCCCAATGGCATGAATTTCTTCAAAGAGAGGAAACTCATATGACAGTCCAGTATTCTGACATTTGGCCTCACATTAACACATTTGGAAATAGAAAGAAACACTTTTGAGTGTTTGTGACTGTCTTGAGCATTCTATCTTTGTTGTATATTGAAGACTTTAAAATGCACATGAATTTAAATTTACTTTGACCACATGGTAAGTCATAGAAGGAGAAAACATTTTTAAAATAAGGGTGGGTATTCATTAGAATAAATATGGTATCCTGTACTTTAATCATCCAGAAATTAATCAATGTCCATTTTAAAAACCATAATCAATGTTATTTTCACTTTTTACCTTATGTCTAACTTCTGAAGGTTTTTCAAACTGCCAAGTGTCTTAGGAAGGGACTCCAAACGATTATCATGCAACTGTTAATTGAAAACATTTAATGAAAATCTGTCAATTCTAATTGTATCAAAGGATAAGACACATTATAGATACTACAGATAATGAATAAAAGTACTTTCTGTCTACTGTCCTATTCCTCTTCACAGATAATGAAATGAATAATTTCTACAAAGGAAAGCCATTAAAGCCACTACATGTATTATGTTAGATTTCATGCACAGCAAACCTGTAAATACCACAAGTACTGACACTGAATGTTAGTAGGCAGGGATTGAAACATGACATTACAGGTATCTGTTTGACATAGTTTGTCAATAGAAATAAGAATATTTTAAGCTATAAAATTATCAACTCCCACTCCACATAAAGACATATTTTCTCTGTAGGCCAATAATGACTCCAAACTTCATCATGTTGTACCATGAGAATGGATTAGCAAGCCGAAATATGTTGGCAACAAAGTTGACAGAACATTAAATTGCTTAGTATAATGATTCACTTTTTTTTAGTCATTAATGATAAAAGGTTTTTTTATTTCATTTGATACCCTCCTGGAACAAAGGAGATGAACAGTATACATATCTGATGCTTGTTCTAGAACTTTTTGTTTAAATTTTTAAAGTTGTTCAGCATTATGTTTATTCTATTAATTCCTTCTGAAGATAATGGAGGATCTATACTGACATCAAGGACTGTCAATGCTCCAAAGTTACTGATGTCTTCAGCCAGTGATGTAAGCCAGTTAGAAGCCAAGATGAGTTTGGTCAACTCAGCAGAGTCCCACCATCTGTCTTCAGAATTATCTAGACACACGTCTTTACTCTCATCAGGCACATCTGTATAGAGGTTCCACACAGCATCAGGGACTAAGAAATATGAAAGTAATAACAACAGTTCCTAATATATACACAAACAGAAGCGAGTATTCTCAAACGTATTGAAACACAAAAACAGAAATCCTGAAAACATTCGTTACAACAAAACCTTACAAGCATTTGCATGATACAGCATATCTGACGAACAAATGTTGATGGCAAGAAGAGTTACAATATACACATGTGAATTATTCAAACAAAATAACAATCATTAAAATTTTCCTTTTTTATTTGCAATCATCATAAAACAAGTTAATGTCAGCATGTACCAATCACTCTTAAAAGTTGAGACTGAATTATGAAGAGGTATTGATGCAGAAGGTAACCAGAGTAGACCCACATGATTGAGCTGGTTGTTTTCACAGGATCAATAAGAATAAGGCCCCGATACACACTTATATCTGGACTGCCAAGACATATTAATACTAATAAGATGATATAATTTGACTCATATCTGTTGTACAATATATTAAAGTTTATAGCCATCAGATCATACTTTCAATCCAGTGAGTCATAGGCCAATAACGATACTATGTAATTTGGATTTCTTAGTAAATATCAACCTTTAGAATATGAGATTATTAGAGCAGACTGTCTGTATCACAACAATTATCACTACATACAACTAAATACTTTGTTAAACTTATTTTTTTTATTTTCTTCATCTTATAACAAGAGGTCCAACAGGCCTTCATTGATCACTTAGTTGTCAATGCTTTTCACAAGCACATCAATTTTCCACTCCATTAACATTGAAGAGCTTCATTAATGAGAAGCCATTCGAAGATCTTAATAAATTTGACCCTGGCAACCTAGAATATGGGTCAAGATTATTTGTTTTTGGTAAAATTTGATAGGCTTGATCTCAGGATATCATTACTCTAGAGCTTTTAGTTCAATAGAAGAAGTTGTAGGAATATCAATGTTATAAGAAAATTGACCCCATGACCCTGAATATGGGTCAAGGTCATTTAGGTAATTTCTTTTCAGAAATTTTGTTGAGCTACATCCAAGAAATCTATCAGCCAAATGTCCTGTTTGTAGGTTTTTTGTGTAATTAGAAAGAAGTTGTTTGGAGATTTTAACAAAATTTGATCTGTGTGACTTTAAATATGGGTCAAGGTCATTTATATTTCTAGCTTTATTCCAGGAACTTGTAAGCCAAGTAACATGATACAGGGACTTTTGGCTAATCAGAAGAAATCATTTAAATGTTTGAACAACTTTGACCACTGAGACATTGGATATGATAATGGAGTCAATATAAGTTTTGTTGGATTTTATTTAAAGAACCTTCCAGGCAAACAGCATCATTTTAGGACTCTTGGTTATTGAGGAGATGCTGTGGTTTGAAGATTTAAAAAAAAAAAGACCCCTGTGATTTTGATCAACGGTAAAAGTCATTTCTTTTCACAATTTCTGTTGGGTTTCGTCTTGGTAACCTTCTGACAAAATATTATGATTCAAGGTCTTTTGGTTGTTGAAAAGTTTAAAGGTTTTATCATATTTCAAAGTTGCTATAGTATCATTCTATGAATACAACACAAAGTTTTGGGTTTTAATTTTTGAAATCCTTCAGAAAGGATCATGATTTATTGTTTTCTTGATTCTCTTTTCCTTATCAAGCTTGTTTGAGAAGCCTATTACTTTCAAATTCTGCATTATAATTGGTGTCTCCTGTGATATTTCAACATTACAGTGCAAGACTAAAATACAGTGCAAAATCAATGCTAAAAAAATGAAACTCTATACTGTTGACTTCAACATGACAAGACCAATTTTAGCAAGGATTTATTTTTTAAATTTTGATTAAAACCTGTGTAATGAGGTAATCTAATGAACAAAAATATCACCCATGGCCACACTGAGAAACTGTTCTGCTATCTGATTTTATATAAAACGTGTACTCCTGGGTCACTCTATTTATAAGCTAACTTAAGCATATCTGGGATTTAGTGATGCCATCAGAAATGGAAGTGCAGTGACATGTCCGATAAACATGCAAACCATTTCAGGTGAGCAAATTTTGAATCTTATCCATGGATATATTCTAGAAAAATACTAGTCTTTTATGGTCACTTTATGAATAAATCTTATAGTATGAACATATTACGTATCGGATTGGTGGGAGTTCATCGCCATTGCATAGCTAACAAAAAATATTGTTAAAGGGTCCGAAACTAATGCGCTAAGGGTACTCATAATATTTTATGGTGAATGGTTTAAATCACAATTTTTATTCTTCTGGAAGCGTGACATGTTACATCAACCAAAATCATCCGTGTGTACGGTCACGAAGGTCAATAGTTTATGTGATACGACACGACAAAATGGCCGTTCCAAAATACGTAACGGTCCGGAAAAGATGTCCAGACGACCCTGTAATTTTCAGAGCCTGGGTTTGAAACCTTGTGCGACCCCGTCCTCCAATTTCATGTTTTCTTTCACTATGCAAATATCATACATTAAAATGAAGAACAACTCTGTACAAATTCACGTTTCTTGATTTGTACAGATACATTCTTACTGAATACTCATCGATATATTTAGAATGTTCACCTGCAGTGAAGCTACGACCAGAGAGGTTCAACTGTCCACTTTTCCTCGCTTGTTTAAGGATCGACGGATGGACAGTGGATCCATTCTTAGTATCTGCTTTTCCAAATCCTGGGTTCAACTGTGGCCTTCCCCGTCTTCCTCTAGTTGCCATGGTAAAATAACCATTTAATTGTTAAATGGGCTGACGACCAAATAAGTTACTCAGATGTTGAAAAAACTTCTCATTTCGAGAACCGGAAGTAGTAGACTAACTTACAAGCCGCCACTGTCCGGAAAAACTTATCATTTCCCCCTATTGCTTCGGCGTAAATTCAGAATTGTATATATCTACATGTTATTGTTTGAAATTGTGTAGTTTTCTTTTAATCTATATTTGACTGAATTCTTTTAAATCTTCAACAAAAGCCATCTGGACATTTTAATCACATACACTTTAAATAATTTAGAAAGACACTCTTTGGTAACATATCGGGAAAACTAAACAAAATCTAAGTTCAGTGTCACAAACATGTCTGATGAACCTATTATTGACTTATTATAACCTGCTGAATCGAGGAAAAGGCTAGAATCGCATGATATTTCTGTCGAATGCCCCGCCCAGGAATCGAACCCAGCTCTACAAAGCCAGCTCTATTAAGAAACAAGACTGAGCGAAAGAGACGGTATTTAACACTATATACAATAATTTAATTATTCATTTATCTATTAAACTGGTTTTAAGCTCATTGTTAAGGCCTTTCGACCTTTCAGTGGACGAGACACTATATGTACAAGTAACACAAACCCACTCCTTTAAAATGTGCATATACTACATTATTTGGGATCCACTTGGCACAAAATGATTAGTGCACAACTTACATCTTATTAAAAACATTTATTATGTAGAAAAAAAGTAACAGTATCGAATAAAGTGAGAAAGGGACAGTTATATAGATATTATTACTCGTCCCTGGATGAGGATCCCGTAACTAATGGTGGAGATACAGCAGGGCATGAATACCTACAAAAATAAATAAACATAATTTCTGTTAATCTACACATTTTTCCTTATTACCATTAATGTCAAAGACACGTTATGACTAGTTGTACAAATACGTTAATATCGGTAAATTATTAAAACATCATTTGTAGCTATTTTGATGATAAGTGAAGCAGTTACCATGAGTGATGCACTAGTGATGCACGTGTTATAATGTGGATGCGTAAAGATTGTGTCCCAGACACTTAAGATGAACTCCTGTTTCTGTGATAGCCTGCCCGGGTCCGTACACCCTCCCGTCAAACAGACAGCCACCTACAAGTAAAACACAGTAGCATAAGCGTATATCATCGATAATGTATCATTTAATTCAATGATACAGGAACTCCTACAATTATGATACAAATTGATTTTCTTTGTGTACCCAGCACTTGTACAAGCCGTCCTTCCTCGGTTCTTATGGTTTTAATGAAGAAGCTTTTATAGAGAAAATGATGCGGTTCATGAGATTATGATATACACTGTTAAATTTTAAACAGTTGGCTTAACGCGGAAAGCTGCATTTATCTTATATCTTATATTTACAGTGAAAAATGTAAGATTTACATGTAACTTGTTTCCTTATTACAAGAACAAAATTGCCTAGAAATTATACATAATCGGATTATTTCCCCTTGTCTAGGATAGCGACGACACTTACTTTGCCCATCTACCGTTCGTTTTTGTTGATCTAAGCTGCTGCAGTCCCCACTGTGAAGTACATGTACACAGGTATATATATATTGTGTTACAAATGTATAAGGTAGATATGCCTTTCCAAATCTTGTTATTAATAGCATATAATTATTTTACACACCCAGCAGCTCTGGGCCGTTTATAAAATATGTCGTTAGTGTGGATAGTAGTTACGATAGAATTTTGTTTATTTTCTTTGTGAAAGTGACAGCTGGAGTATACGAAACGCCATTGGTTGTGTAATGTAATATTCATAACAAGAAAACTTAATTAAAGACTTGTCCAAAATAAAGTGTCTGGTGTATATTGTGTCATGTTTTGTACAGGTACTTACAACAACTGAACCTCGTTTCCAAGATTATTGTTACCGAGACACGTGATCTTTGCAAGACATTTTGGGACAATAATGTCCTGGCCAGGTCCATATACACGTCCATCAAATAGACAGCCACCTGTAATTTACACAACACATGTTACACGTGCATTACACACAGCCACCTGTAACTCACACAACACATGTTACACGTGCATTACACACCACATCAACCAGTACGTGTATCATAAACGTGCTTTTCACAGACAATCACACATAACTGATACAGATTAATTGTAGAATTTGATCTTATAGAACAGGCTTATGAAATATCACTTTTCAGTGATTTCCTGTTAAAATAGCTTACATTGGGATTCTCTAACAAATACATAGATTTATAGTTCTATCTTGGAGTAATGTCGTTTCAGTGTCCTGTCTTTCTGAAATACTAGGTTTTATAGTGCAATACCGTTCTTGGTGAAATATCATCTTCTTAATGAGATATCAGATTTGATAGTGAGATTTCGCTGAAATATAAATCATTATGTTGGGGTCTCGCTGAAGAAATCATCAGATGTATTAAAACTTTAAATTATCATAAGGTTTGTTCGACTCACTTTGTCCGTCTACGGCTCTCTTCTCGGTTGGACAGACCCCTCTACAAAAATCAAACAGAAGTGGTAATAGTGGTCAAATATCTCCATCTTCATCGTCTATCGCCGCGGTAGACAACTAATAGACATTTTGTATGACACATTTTCTTTAATCTAATGACAACTGGTGTGTCAGTTTGAAATACTAGCCAAAACCATACCGTTATTTGCAGACCTAAACATATGACAGAAAATCAATGATTTTCTCGATAACTCATTCTGAAGTGATGCTGGAATATGATGTACTCTGACAGGCGTCAAGTTTTAGGCTATTTATGAGTTTATTAATGTTAGTAACTTAAGCGATTGGGACATACAACGATAACACCGGATGACGGTGGGTTCATCCATCGAGTCACATTAAGAACGAGGCAGCGGTCGTGCGGGAGGAGAATCGTGAACCGACAGAAAACGAAAAAATAATGAGTATGTGGTTGTAATATTAGTTAATAAAATATTCTGGAAAGGCGATTAAATAGTGTTTTAGAGATTCAGTCTATGTACAAATGTACAACGGACGAGCACAAGTACGATATGGCTACAGTCATACCACGGTAGTGTTAAAACATGCAGTGGTATTGCTGAAGGTCGTTTTATTCACCTTAGGGAATATAACGACGAGGGATATGGCTATACAAATACAACGGTCGGTCACAGTTGCTCAGAGCTTCGTTAGCCCTAACCAGTGCTTCATGAAAGTTTTCAAATATGAATTAGGAAAAATGGGGAATATCCTTTGTTATAAGTCAGATAACAATGTTTAGCCCATCACCATCTAATGGTGGGCTGTTGAAATCGCCCTACATCAGTCGCCCGTCCGTCTGTAAACATTTTTTGTTATTGCTATTTCTTGAGAAGTTCTGGATGGATCTTTCTCAAATTTCATATGTAGGTTCCCCTTGGTCCCTTGTTGTGTCCGTTTGATTTTGGGTATGATCAGAAAATTAAAGTGGGTGAAAGGTGGCCATCTTTGACTTTTACAATGAATTTGTTATGGCTATTTCTTGAGAATTGCTAGATGGATCTCTCAAACAATTTGAAACGCATGTTTCATTTGGTCACTAATTGTGCTCAGTTGATTTTTTAGACTAATTAGAAAAACCAAGTGGCCGACAGATGGCCATCTTGGATTTCGCCAAGTAATTTGGTATGAAAGATTATCGACGCTATTTCTGTAAAAGAACGTTCAAAGTTCTTATCATTGAGAGCAAAAACAGAGAAGGGGAGAGAAAAGCAGGGAAAAGATTCAACTTTTAATGAACAAATGAAAATCAAACAGAGGTGGGCGGGGAAATCTCTCTTCGATTTCTGGAGAGTAAAGCTCACTTTGAAAGCCAAAGTGACAACAGTTAAAATTTTCACTTATTCCTGATGGACAAACAATCATAGGGAAACATGCAAAATGACACGTGATCAAAGCCTTGTCAGAAAAGAGGAAAACGTCGACTTACGGTGAAGGTCAAAAATGGCTTACCCTAACAAGTGTAGGTCGCCGTATACATTTTTACCCAAGCAGGTCATCTCGGATAGGCAACCTAATGGAATAACCAACTCGCCCTTCTGGTAGACACGGCCATCAAATAAACAGCCCTCTGAAAGTGTGACAAAACGACAATCATTGGTATAGTGTTCATCGGCCATGTGACGTGAAATGTAAATCAACATTACAACAGTATTATAAATGTAATGACGTCCATGGTAAAGACGTATATTATCTTCAAATGTGTTCATACATATATGAATGACACTTTGTTAAGTTAGTCGATCTAAATTGTGTAGGCACATAACTTCTGGATAATGCTAAGCGGTCATTGTGTCTTCAAGAAATAAATGGTTTGTTGTCGATCAGGGCATTGCACACACTCCTATAGAGTATATGAATGCCCTGACATTGACAAGACATCCTATAGAGATTTAGTTCAACCCCTTAACTCACAGGAATTTTTCATGAAATTGAAGAAAATCTGTCATTTTGCTTCAACATGAATGTTCACACTTTTCCAACCAACTCTTAAGTCATCCTATAGAGATTTAATTTAAGGAATTTCAGAGTAATATAATTTATTTAACACGTGATTGTACCAACAAGCCCAACATGTGATATCAGGTCTGATAACTCTATGTAAGACAACCATTTTATTTTCGCGGTGTGGGTTGGAAGTTATTACCTTAATTTTTCTGTTGCCTTGTGTCATTTAACCATATCTAATCCTGTCATTGGCTTCTTGTTTTCCCGACAATAAATATCGCACTACAATTTCCTTTACGTTTATTGGCAAAAAATCAATGAGGTTTACCATGATGTGTGTGTGACGGTATTTGTCGCCTTTGTTATCTCATTCTTCACACCTACCTTGACCATCTTCGGCCGGTGCGGCTGAAGCCACAGAAACTATGACGGCAATGAGAAGTGGAACCATTCTTGTAGAGTGTGTGTTTGGTGAGAAGAGACGTTCATACCAGAACGTTGTTATATATATATGTGTTCTAGTCTCGTGTGGCTGACAGAGGTCTTGATAAGACAAAATATGACACCTGTTTAATTCACCTTTAAAGTAGGTTAAATGAGATATATACTTGATATTTTAAGCTCAAGTCAATTTGTCCACAAGAAGATAATCGTTTTTTCTATTTTTTTGTTTCTGTTTTGTTTTTAATTTGTTTTTTGTTTTAGATATCTATCTTTTTAATGCTAATACGAGCACTTCTTATTTTGTTATTTTTACTGTAAAATGTATCATTTTATTTTGCTCTTTTTCGTTATAAAACTAGTCTCTCTAATCGAAGACTAAGATGATGAGAATCGCGAATGAAGAGAAAATATTTCAATGTTATTTCATTCCATAAGTTGAATTTTGATATCTTATTGTGTATGGTAGTTTATCAACCTTATGACGGAAACTAACCAGGTGATTGAAATATGATATTGACTTGTACGGTCCATGTTGTGAATTGCCGTAAATTTCTTACAGCGTTAGTAATTGTCGTGAACCATCGTCCGTCTGTAGTATTACTCTTTGATATAACTAATCCTCCTGATTGAATTATGTAACAGGTTACAAAGTTGATTCTTCATATAATACAAACCTTGACGAATTCATTTCAGTCATCTTGAAAATCACGTGTTAGCAACAATTAACGACTATCGTGATCGCTTCTTCTATATAGAAAATGTATAACCTAGTTTGTGAGAGGGACTGGCCGGACTGATTTAATAAATCCTTAGAGATATTCGTACCTATACGGTTTTCAAATTGGCCGTAACAATCGTCATCTTTATATAACTTGTTATCGTTATATAATCCGACTTTATTCAGAGTTCTGTGATGCTGAAGTTACCATTTTGACTATAGCGTTAAACTTCGTTCCATTCAATTTAAACTTACAAGTTTTAAGAAAGTCATCATGATTTCGCCCAAAATTGTCTCTGTTAGATATATTATCACTCATTCAAATTACTTTAACATTAAGAATAAATTTAATACCCTGCATAAAACGCATTTTAAATCAGAGCCTTCGTTTTTGTTACATTTCAGCACTTATTACTTTATCTTCCACAACAACAGAGACGTAGTAAAGAATCTCTTTGCAGTCCACAGGACGATTTCCAGTCAAAGTTTAAAGTTTTATCACATGTTTTTGTATTATTTGTACCAACGTCTCATAAATGCAGATTACATTATGGCAAAATATAGACAATGTGTATATGTAGAGGCAGTGTGCCCTTCATTTGTAATTGCATATAAAATGCATAAAATAAATAAATAATAATGGTTTTTAATGGAATAAAGGGAGTCATACTAGTTTCAGAAATCCTACATAGAATGGAAGTCGCACAAGACCCTACATTTAGAAAAACTGAAATGAAGTGGTTCTATCCTGACCATTACGAATCTCCGCGGAAAGACAAGGGCTATTTTCTATGCATGACATTTGTAAACTCTTACGTTATATGAGGAACTCCACGTTGACGAGAGTAAGAACAACGTGACCCTTATCTCTAGTGATTACGTGATTGATACTGAAACACGTGAGGTCAGTTAAAGACTGTTGAAGTTTCTACATAGTGAACATTCAGGGTGTGTATTTTGATGTTACAGAACCCAAACCCTCTCTTCTCTATTTTCTTTACATTGACATATCTACATATATATTTATGAGCGTAAATCTTTATCTTCCGGTGTACTTCTGCAATTTCTGAAGAGTCGACGCCATACCCTGGTTTCCAGATCATTTCTATCTACAATACTGTCGCCTTGTAGCACTGATTTCCCCATCATGTCTATCTACACAGCTGCCATCTCATAGGCCTGATGTCCTTAACCTCGAAGTCTACATAGTGATTGTCTCCTCGTCTTTGTGACTATACTCTGTCTACACAGCTGTTGTCTTCTATCCCTGTTGTCCCTATACTCTCGGTCTACACAGCTGTTGTATACTATCCCTGATGTCCATATACTCTTTCTACACAGCTGTTGTCTTCTATCCATGTTCTCTGCCTAAACGGCTGTAGTCTTCTATCCCTGATGTCCCTATACTCTCTGTCTACACAACTGTTGTCTTCTATCTCTGATGTCCCTATACTCTCGGTCTACACAGCTGTTGTCTTCTATCCCTGATGTCCCTATACTCTCTGTCTACACAGCTGTTGTCTTCTATCCATGTTCTCTGTCTACAAAGCTGTTGTCTTCTATCCCTGGTGTCCCTATACTCTGTCTACACAGCTGTTGTCTTCTATCCATGTTCTCTGTCTACACAGCTGTTGTCTTCTATCCATGTTCTCTGTCTACACAGCTGTTGTCTTCTATCCCTGATGTCCCTATACTCTCTGTCTACACAGCTGTTGTCTTCTATCCCTGATGTCCCTATACTGTCTACACAGCTGTTGTCTTCTATCCCTGATGTCCCTATACTCTGTCTACACAGCTGTTGTCTTCTATCCATGTTCTCTGTCTACACGGCTGTAGTCTTCTATCTCTGATGTCCCTATACACTGTCTACACAGCTGTTGTCTTCTATCCCTGTTTTCTGTCTACACAGCTGTTGTCTTCTATCCCTGATGTCCCTATACTATCTGTCTACACAGCTGTTGTCTTCTATCCATGTTCTCTGTCTACACGGCTGTAGTCTTCTATCTCTGATGTCCCTATACACTGTCTACACAGCTGTTGTCTTCTATCCCTGTTTTCTGTCTACACGGCTGTTGTATACTATCCCTGATGTCTCTATACTCTCTGTCTACACAACTGTTGTCTTCTATCCCTGATGTCCCTATACTCTGTCTACACAGCTGTTGTCTTCTATCTATGTTCTGTGTCTACACAGCTGTAATCTTCTATCCCTGATGTCCCTATACTCTGTCTACACAGCTGTTGTCTTCTATCTCTGATGTCCCTATACTCTGTCTACACAGCTGTTGTCTTCTATCTCTGATGTCCATATACTCTGTCTACACAGCTGTTGTCTTCTAACCCTGTTCTCTGTCTACACGGCTGTTGTTTACTATCCCTGATGTCCCTCTACTCTATCTACACAGCTGTTGTCTTCTATTAATGTTCTCTGTCTACACAGCTGTAGTCTTCTATCCCTGATGTCCCTATACTCTGTCTACACAGCTGTTGTCTACTATCCTTGATGTCTCTATACTCTCTGTCTACACAACTGTTGTCTTCTTTCCCTGATGTCCCTCTACTCTGTCTACACAGCTGTTGTCTTCTATCCCTGTTCTCTGTCTACAGAGCTGTAGTCTTCTATCCCTGTTCTCTGTCTAAACAGCTGTTGTCTTCTATCCCTGTTGTCCCTCTACTCTGTCTACACAGCTGTTGTCTTCTATCCCTGATGTCCCTATACTCTGTCTACACAGCTGTTGTCTACTATCCTTGATGTCCCTATACTCTCTGTCTACACAGCTGTTGTCTTCTATCCCTGATGTCCCTATACTCTCTGTCTACACAGCTGTTGTCTTCTATCTACACAGCTGTTGTCTTCTATCCCTGTTGTCCCTCTACTCTGTCTACACAGCTGTTGTCTTCTATCCCTGATGTCCATATACTCTCTGTCTACACAGCTGTTGTCTTCTTTCCCTGTTCTGTCTTCACAGCTGTGGTCTTCTATCCCTGATGTCCCTATACTCTGTCTACACAGCTGTGGTCTTCTATCCCTGATGTCCCTCTACTCTGTCTACATAGCTGTTGTCTTCTATCCCTCTTCTCTGTCTACACAGCTGTGGTCTTCTATCCCTGATGTCCCTCTACTCTGTCTACACAGCTGTTGTCTTCTATCCCTGTTCTCTGTCTACAGAGCTGTTGTCTTCTATCCATGTTCTCTGTCTACACAGCTGTAGTCTTCTATCCCTGATGTCCCTATACTCACAGCTGTTTCTACACAGCTGTTGTTGTCCCTATACTCTCTGTCTACACGGCTGTTGTCTTCTATCCCTTTTCTTTATCTACACAGCTGTTGTCTTCTATCCCTTTTCTTTATCTACACAGCTGTTATCTACTATCCCTGATGTCCCTATACACTGTCTACACAGCTGTTGTCTTCTATCCCTGTTCTCTGTCTACAGAGCTGTTGTCTTCTATCCCTGTTCTCTGTCTACACAGCTGTTGTCTTCTATCCCTGTTCTCTGTCTACACAGCTGTTGTCTTCTATCCCTGATGTCCATATACTCTCTGTCTACACAGCTATTGTCTTCTTTCCCTGTTCTGTCTTCACAGCTGTGGTCTTCTATCCCTGATGTCCCTATACTCTGTCTACACAGCTGTGGTCTTCTATCCCTGATGTCCCTCTACTCTGTCTACACAGCTGTTGTCTTCTATCCCTCTTCTCTGTCTACACAGCTGTGGTCTTCTATCCCTGATGTCCCTCTACTCTGTCTACATAGCCGTTGTCTTCTATCCCTGTTCTCTGTCTACACAGCTGTTGTCTTCTATCCCTGATGTCCCTATACTCTGTCTACACAGCTGTAGTCTTCTATCCCTGATGTCCCTATACTCTGTTTACACAGCTGTTGTCTACTATGTCCCTATACTCTCTGTCTACACGGCTGTTGTCTTCTATCCCTTTTCTTTATCTACACAGCTGTTGTCTTCTATCCCTTTTCTTTATCTACACAGCTGTTATCCACTATCCCTGATGTCCCTATACACTGTCTACACAGCTGTTTCTTCTATCCCTGTTCTCTGTCTACACAGCTGTTGTCTTCTATCCCTGTTCTCTGTGTACACAGCTGTAGTCTTCTATCCCTGATGTCCCTATACTCTGTCTACACAGCTGTTCTCTGCTATCCCTGGTGTCTCTATTCTCCCTATTTACACAGCTGTCATATATTTTTTCTGATGTTCCTATCCTCTTTGTCTTTACAGCTGTTGTCTCCTAGAGGTGTCCTTAACCTAGCCTTGTGTTACTCTATTCCTTT